GATGAATAAACCGGCCCTTAGGGAACTAGAGTTTTTAACAAGAGGAGGCAATTCGTTTTAATCATCTATTCCTTTATAAAAAAAGCATTTTGTTTGTGCTTGAAAGGTTGCACCTTCGAACATGGAAACCAGGACCTGTATAACTTCTAGTTAGGTGATTGTGTATATCATACCTCAATGCAACAAATTCTTCAAGATATGGTGGAAAAAGTTTATTTAATATCTTATAAACAAAAATCATAGCATTACGAAACAATCTTTTTTGTATCCATTGTAGCTGGATTTCCGTGTACCTATTGCATTTGAGAATAACTCTCATTCCTCTATTCTGCAGTTTCTGTAGAGCTGTTGTTTGGTTTAAGTCAAATGCATATAGTATGCTGCTACAAAAATCAAAATGTGGTTATATGATACTGTTATATAGGTACTGTAATTTTCGAGGACATGGATAATTTTTGAGCAATTCTGGAGAAGAAGTAAAGCCTTTTCAATATTCTCCCATAAATACAGGGTGTTTAAAAAGACGCGGCAATATTTGAGGGGGTGATTCCTCAGGTCATTTTATGGAAAAAAGTTCCCATAAACATAGGTCCGGAAATGCATTTTTTCCAAGATACAGGGTGTTAAAGATTTTTTTAAAATAACGTTTTTTTTTTTTAAATAATTCAAATATCCCCTCGTTTTTATTCTCATCGGTGACTTCACCGATGAGTTAGCTATCTTTGTTTAGTAAATGGAAAATGACAATGACGGCCATAGAATGGTGAATCCATCGGTGAAATTTGATGAGAATAAAAACGCAGGGTATCTTCTCACCGATTTTTTTGAAAATTGGCAGCGTTGTTTTTAGTAATTAGGGGCTAGTTTTGCCCTAACTAGATAATTTTTTTTAACTCCAGTGGCGTTAGGGGGGGCAATTTAATAAAATTTATTGACAACAAAAAGTGCGCCACTGACTTTAATTTAATTTCGATTTTTCTTTCAGATAAATCAACTAAAACTGCAACTTTTTTGTCTCTTAAATTTTTCTCGTATCTTGCTTCGTTTACAAAATAAAAAATAAAAACTATTTTCTTGCTTGTCCATTATGATACAAAAACTGTTCAAAGTGACCACTCCCGGCGTGGATACAGGAATCCAATCTTCTCCTCATTGACTGGCGAACTCTCTCAAAAATACCAGGGTCGTTTCTAATTGAGTTACACCCACCAATGATTCGAGCTCTTAGGTCTAATCTTTACCACCCTGTATCTTGCAAAAAATGCATTTCCGGACCTATGTTTATGGGAACTTTTTTCCATAAAATGACCTGAGGAATCACCCCCTCAAATATTGCCGTGTCTTTTTTAAACACCCTGTATATTGGAAATGTGCAATGAATAATAAAGTATCATCAAGGAATTCAAGATCCCCAAGAAAGTAAAACATCCAAAAAGTTAGTCATGCATGGAACACTTTTTAGCACCTGTAGAAAGAAGAGAAGACGGTACGTTCGAAGTCCAGATGACATAGATTGAACTGATTGAAGATCATCTTCCATCACCCACAAATTATAACTTAGCACATAGAACTTGTGTGACGAAAAAATTGCGAACAAATAATAATTATGACGATTGCGAGCAAATTTTTGACGAATGACTACAAGAAGAAGTTATTGAACAAATTTCATTTGAAACAGAAAGGAATATTAGATATTTTTTGCCACACCATCCAGTGTGGCGACGAAGATTCGCCCAGTATTTGATGCCACAGCTCACAAATGAAAAATGCCCTGTTTGAAGCAGTGTTTAGGAAAAGGCATCCTATTAAGTTGATTCCGTCAATGTTGATAAGAATTCGTATTAACAAAATTGATGTTATAGCATTTTTACAGATTGGACTTGACATTCGAGACCGAATTTTTTTAAAAATATATTTGGTATGATAAAAAAGCTAAGGTGCAGTTTTTTCGGCATGCTAGAGTTGTATTTGGGGTAACCTGCAGTCCATTTTTGTTGGGAGCAGTGATAGAATATCATTTGAAAAATGTTTTTAAGAAATTTGAAGATGGAGAATCACCCTACTCCACAGCAGTGATTTCCAAACTCGAAGCCTTCTATGTAGACAATGTTATTGCAAGTATAGATACAGGGGAATATTAAAATCAATTTATTCATAAAAGTGGTGAACTTTTGAAGGAAGGCAAAATGGATCTTAGAGGGTAGGAGAATACTCTTTAGAAAGTAGCAGTCATGGAAACTGAACCTATGCTACCAGTTTTAGACCTTTTGTGGAACAAATCTCAAGATACTCTACAAATTTCTTTAGAATCGCGTATACATCCTAACTTAAAAGAGGTTACCAAACAGGTAATTTTGCCTTCAGCTCATAATCTCTTTGATCCTATTGGTTTTAGTACTTACTCCAACTATATTGTATCCAAAAATATTACTTCAGAAAAATTGGGTACAAAAGCTTTTTGGGATACAGAGTTACAGAGTGAAATAAGAAACGATTTTCTTAGATGACGGAATAGGATACTCTATCCCTTGGGCACGTATTCTTGAAACAGGGGAGCAAGGTTCCCAGGAGAACAAGTGTTCCGTCTTTGTTACTTATATATTATCATTTGCATATCATTGAGAAAGATTGAACACTCGTTCTCCGGGAATGTTGCTCGTTGCTCCCCTATTTCAAGAATAAAGACCCAGATGGTTTTTGTCTTCACAACATCTAGAAAGTTCACAGTAGGATCCTACATAATATATTCCGCGATGCCAACAAAAAAAACTTACGCTATAGTCGTTTTCTTGAGATCTGAAAGCACGGGAGTTGATGTTATTCTCGTTCAAGCAGAATCAAGAGTTACGCCTGTGAAGAAATTGAACATATCTCTTTAAGAATTTATGGTTGAAACTTTAGGATCTAGGATATCGTGCAATGTTGTGGAAAATATTGATCCCTCTAATAAAACCAAGTGGATATCTATTCTCGGATTTGGGGTACAGCGTTCCCATGAGAACGATTGAACCATGTCCCGAGAATAAGGGTCCTGTTGGATTGATTCGTCGACGATTATGGCATGGATTCAAAGGGAAGAACAATTGAAACCATTTGTTTGGCATCCCGTTGCAGAAAGAAGGAAGCTAACCAATAAAAATAACTGGTTTAATATATCTGGTGAACATAATCCAGCAGATCTTCCATCTCGGAGGTGTTTTGGTAGGAAGGTAGCTGATGAAAGATTGTGAGAGGGCCCTTCATGGATAAGAAAGCAGTTTGATTTCAAAATATTATAAAATTGTACGACTTATCTGGTGGATAAGAAGATTCGTCAATGAATGCAAAATTATTGCTTGTAGTAATAATGACCTGACATGGTCAGAATTCGATTCTGCTAGAAAATGTTGCATAAGACTAGTACAAGATGAAGGTTTTCCACAATTTGTTAACGATTTGAAGCTCTCAACATTATGCCTTTTGATAGATGATAATGGTATTATGAAGATTCAAACAAAAATATCTGACAGAAAAGATGAAGTGAATTTCAGATTTCCATAATGTTCTTCCACGCCAACATGATATAGTTAAATCGCCTCATTATGAGTGAACATCTAAAAAAATTCACACACAGGAGTCCGAAGTTAGATGAGTAATACCTACATCACTAGAAAGATTTTGGATAATTAAATCCATTAATTCAGTCATTGGGTAATGTCAAGTCTGTAGGCGATATAATGCGAAAACTTTAGATTTAGTCCCAATTTTTCTTCCCATTGATAGAGTTCGAGAATTAGCAGTTTTTCTAGCTACTGGTCATTGGTATTTAACTATATTTGAAAACCGGCGATAAAGTTTGGATAACTCTGTTTGCTTGTGCTGTGTATAAAGTAGTAAATTTAGAATTGGTGCCTTCACTAGGTACAAGAAATGCATGTTTAAAGTCATTAAGACATGTGACAACGGTACAAACTTTGTCGGTACTGAGAATGCTTTTCACAAGCTGGAGTGGGAGCCGATTACTGAAAAGAGCAATATTGAAAAAATCAAAATGGAAGTTCAATCCGCCAGCTGCAGGTCAAAGATATTCTAAGAGGAGTCCTAGGTAAATCTCATTTTTTTGCTGAAGAGCTGAGCATGATTTCATGCGAATGTGAGGCTGGTATAAACTCTCGACCGCTCACTTTTGTTTCAGAAGATAGTCCTTATTCGATAACGTTAACTTCAAATATGTTTCTGTTATTAACAAGATAGAAGCAAAGGTTAAAGTACCAACTATGAGACTTAGGTTAAGAAGTTCCTAAAGCGAGGTTTTGAAATGAATATTTGGGTCAGCTCACACTGTTCGCAAAAAAGAATGAGTATAGTCTCTAGGTAAAAGTGGTAAATTTTAGCTAGAAAAGAAGCGACTGGATTCTGGGTCGCATTGAGAAAGTAATGCGAGGTAGAGATGGAAATACATTCACCGTATATTTTCTCCCATTGAAATGGAAAAAAATTATATTTCTTCTTCAAAGAAAAATGAGGCGCTTCAGGAGAACATCCTGAACTTCAGCGGATTGTTAAAGTATCACCACGAAGATACAGTGAATGTAAGAAGTAATAACTGATTAGGTAAAAAGTATGTTGCTACAACACGATCGGGGCGAAAAGTAAAGGTACCCACTAGAATAGTATATTGTGTATTTAGGTGGAAAAGTGACATATTCTCGGCCGACGGTGTAAGTTGACGGGCGAGGCGTAGCCGAGGCCGGCAAACACCGAAGGCCGAGAATGTGCTTTTCCACCGAAATACACATACTATTTTTTCTGCGATCGGTTAAATACTTGTTAAATGTTTGTCTTTTGGTTCCAATTATTCAGCAGTACGAGAATCACTTTCCCGGCCTAGGCCGAAAAAGTCTTTCCCGTATTGTTATTCATTGATTCCTTAGCAACTATTGAAACATAATTGAAATACCAGAATATTGAGTTTTGCGACCTGTCAACCGATCAAAAATGCTGACATTTCTTGTCAATCGCAGAAAAATTAATGTTGAGTCTCATATTGTTGATGACTCAAGTTGGGAGAGTGTAGAAATTCATGACATTTCACCTTTTGCCTTATCTGTCAAGTACCTATTGTAATAGTTGTACATTTCACGTAATAAATATGTGTCAGTCAGTTTAAATAAAAAAGGGTTCAGGTTTTAAAGTAAACAATGGTTTCTTCATTGTGTGGCTTTAGATCGTAGTCATAGTACCAGGTAGGTTTTAGCAAACGTTATATTGACATTGGCTTCTTTCTATAGTAGGTAATTTTAATATTTGCAGTTATAACATTTTCTCATAAATTATTTGTAAACTTCTACCTCTTCATAATATACGCTTCAAATCACTTAAAATTACTTTTTTTATAATTGTTAACTAGTATTCTAACATTTGCCGAATAAAATATGAGCCATCTTAATACATATTAATGACTACTTAATTCTCGAATCTTAAATTGTACGCAAACATTTTGTCAACATTCAATGTCAAGTATTCTATATTCCTACTGTTTCATATAATCAACTCTATTATTAATGGAATAAGCGATATCTTTATTTTTAAACTAATATTTGCATAATGCATTAAACTTGGGTTGACTAATGAGAAAAAATTATTTTGGCAACATTATTTATTCAAACAAGGGTCATCAGTTTCTTCTGTCAGGAACTTGGTCGAAATCTATAGTGAATCTATTTTTCCTTAATTGTGCTAGTAAATTTTTAGTACAATTTATCTGAAGTTACTTTTATCTCTATCCTTGATAAAAGTGCATCTACAATAACTTTTTTTATAGTAAAAGTTATAGGTATTAACCTCCAAAAAATAAGTATTATATACGAGGGAAAACATAATCATTGCAATGTTCAAGGAGGAAGAACGGAACTTGGGAAATGTTTAAAAAGATTGAATTTTTTTTTTTGGCATTAATAAATTTGTACCTACAAAAACCGTTTTTTAATATAAATAAATTTAAATAACAAATCACAGGTTTTCTATAACTATAGAATAAATAAAACAATATAATATCCAGGTTTTACCAGACAACAGTAGGAAAATCGTCATTTTTATCGGCGTATCCTACAGCATAACCCCTTCTATCATATCCGGCGTAATCTTGATTCTCATAATAATAATCATCGCTATCATATTTTGGAAATTCATTATTTGATCTACGACTACGGTGGAACAGTTTCAACAAATCAGAAGATACTTCTATTTTCGTTGTAGCCTCTGGATTTTCACTGGCATCGGTAGAATCTTCTGTTACTCGATCAGTGGTATCAGGAAAAACATCTCTTTGGGTTCTTTTTAAGGGATCTGATACCACTTGAGAGTATTTTCCATCTGAGTATTGGATTAAACTAATCGGCAACGAGCTGGATAGTAGAATTATTGAAAATAGAGTGCAAATGGCTAAAAACTAGAGGTAAAAAATAAATTGGTTGGAAAAAAAATTATTGGAAAAAATACTTACTGAACGATAAGTCATTTTCACAAATGTATAGATATAAAAACACTGTCCTCCTTGCTTGATTATTGTAAGTAAAAATGTATTTAATTCAAAATATTGCTTAATATCTTTATATATTTTTTATGGGTTTACCATAAAAATTAGAATCCTATTATGCATTTCTAGTTCGTCCGTTATTTATTTTGAACGAACATATATAATAATAATTATTACCATTAATAAAATGGTGCTAATTGCTGTGGCAAAACAACATCCGTAAGTAAAAATAGACTTCTCAAAATTGTAATTTACACCGACGGTTCTATTAGTAGAGGAAAATCATAGCTGAATTAATGTAATTGTCACAGACAGATTTTAAATTTTATAATTCACATTTCAGAAGCACTTAACGAAATTCCAAAAAAAAAATTATATACGAGGGAAAGTAATTCTATATAAAGCCAAAAAGAAGAAACTACCAATCGAATAAATTGATCTGAAAGATATAGAAATGGACAGAAAATTACGACATGAGCCATTCCATCTGATGGTCTACAAAAAGAAGAATATTGTAGAGAAAAATCAGGAGACTGAATTGAAGATGGGAGCTTATCTACAAAAAATTTGCAAGGAAGACGTTAGAAAATCATTCAAAATTAGAATCTTAATTCTGAAGGAAAGTTGTCAGTTTTGAATTTTTGTCGAGAATTCAACCATATTTTTTCATTTACCAAATGATGACTTGACATTCACTCAAGCGATTCAATGTAAAATAAATACGACTACTGATACACCAATTCATTCCAAAATTTATAGACTTCCAAAATGTCATGAATCTGAAATTTCAAACCAAATTGAGAAAATGTTGAAACTGAAGATAATTCAACTATCTGTTTTCCCATATAATGCATCACTGTGGGTGGTACCTAAAAAAATTGAATTATCGCAATGGCGGATTGTAGTCAATTTCAGATGCCAAGTTCAGCCAATTCCAAATATTGACGAAATATTAGACCAGTTAGGACATGCATCTTATTTCATAGTTCTCGATCTAGCCTCAGTCTTCCACCAAATCAAAATGGATCCGGAAGATGCACCCAAACTGCTTTTTCTACACCTAATGCACATTAGTTGAATTGAATGAGTTTTTACGAATGCCATTTGGTCTTAAATATGCACCAGCAGTACTCCAAAGATAAATGAATACGGTTTTAACTAGATTTCAGCTTTGTTTAGCTCGATAATCTACTTGTCGTTGGATCAAATTTTATCGATCATGAACAAAAATTAAAACTAATATTTCAGAGATTGTCTCGAAATAATTTAAAATTGCTACCTGATAAATGTGAGTTTATGAAAAAGGAAGTAGTTTACTTAGGTCACAAAATTTGAGAAATTGGCATTCATAGCCAGATGAGAAAAAAATCGAAAGTGTTTTAAATTTCCCAATGCACAAATCTCAAAAAAATATCAAACAATTTTAAGGTCTTATACGCTATTACAGACGATTTATACAAAATTTCGCAAGTTTGGTCGCTGAAGCATTATCGTCCGTAACTTTATGGTAGGAAATTTAAAAGGACGACCTTTCCAAATTTTCATACGCATTCGCAGTTCCCAATCATGAGTCAAAAACCATCGCTGACAAGTTCTGTGAATTTATTCCAATTTTTGGAATACCAAAAATTATTGTGACAGACAATGGAACCGATTTCACGCCTAATCTACTTAAAGAAGTTAATAGTCTTTTTAAAATAAAATATATTACCACCTCAGTTTATAGACCTCAAAGTAATGGAGCCTTAGAACGCTCTCATTCTACGCTAAAAGATTATTTAAAGAATTTTACCAAAGACAATTGAGACGAATTTATTCAAACTGCCATGTTTTGGTATAACACTCTAGTTCATTCAACCACTCAATTTACTCCATATGAGTTAGTGTTTGGTCATAAGGCAACACTACCCAATAAAATAACAAAAGTCCCAGGATTCCACTACACGTATGATACCTATAACAAACAACTTCAGTTGAGATTAAATAAATCGTTTCAAATTGCTAAAGAAAACATTATCAATTCTAAAATTAAATACAAAACTTACTACGATGAAAAAATTATTGATTTTAATTCTTCTGTAAGCGACCAAGTTTATGTCCTAGATAAAGCTCCAAAGCCCGGCATAAGTAAAAAACTTTCTCCGAATTATAAGGGACTATATAAAATAACAAAAATTAACTTGAATAATTCGGTTCTCTTAGAAATAAAAAATAAGCTAGTTTCGTACCACAAGAACTTATTAAAACCATTTGTTTCAGACAAAAATTAAGCTGATACATTACACGCTACGTGCTCTTCTTATAATTACAATGTGTCGCGCCCACCTATCGCACACGGAGGAGCAGGCTTATCAAATACCACCAGTTAATAACCAAGCAGGCACCTTTTACCAATCTCTAGGTACCGTAAAATTATACGATGATTATTTTACTGTGCTTTCATTTTCAAATATTTAATTTTCCATTCATAAATTCCTAGTTGTGGAAAAAATATCTTAGAAATAAAAAAATTTACGTGCATAGTTTCCATTGCACGGATTCGCTTGCTTTGTTTGATGCTCAAATTAAAACATTTAAAAAGAAACTTGATACTAATATTCATTAAGTCGCTCATACATTTGAAACCAAACGTAAACTCAGAGGTTTAATTATCGGAGTTTCAATTGCATTTATATGGTTGTTCGGTACACCAGATGCAGACGCAGTGACGCTTTAACCTGTCTCTGGCCCGTAGGTCAATTATTTGGTATGGCCTTTCATGAGTGATTGTTATTTTTTATGGGGTTAAATAGCATCATTCAAACGATGTCAAACTAATAAAAAAACCAGGGAGGTTCCGAAGACTTTTTATTGGGGGGTGGGGGGGTGGTGTAGGTAAAATCTCCCAACTGGTCTTTCTCAAAAATCCCAACTAGCAGGCGCGTAGCCAGAATATTTAAATAAGGGGGGTTTTTCGCTATTGAAATTAAGAAACATTGCATGATCATAGGGGTGTCGGAAAAAAAATTGCGCCGCAGTCAAAAATTTTGTAGAATTTCAAGGTCAAATGCTTTATATGAAAAGAATAAAATTTTGAGGGTCAAAAAGTAGGTATATGCTAAAACGTAAGGTAAATTTCTAGAGTTTTTAGTAATGTCCCAATATGTCCTTCGTGACTTCACATTTTAGGTAGGAAAATTCGTTGTAAATGAGTCAATTTGAGGGACGCACGGACCCCTCGCCCTCCATTGGGAACCCTACTGGTAAAATCAACATGTTTACTGAAAAAATAAAAGTCAAAAACATGTATTTTTTTGAGATTGTTAGTATTTGTATTATAATTTTTAATTTCTAATAATTTCCAGAAGTGGTTCCTAATTATACTTTCTTTAACCCCCAAAACCCCTCCCGTGGCTACGCCCCTGCCAAGTAGCATTTTATTCAAGCTGTTTTTCATATTTTTATCATTTTTTGGAATATTTTTTCATTTTTCCCGTGAATCTTTATGTTTTCAAGTGTACCGATTCTCCCAACTTGTACCCGATATCCCAACTATCTCAACTGGTTGAACTGGTTGGGAGGGACGTCCTCCCATCCATACTTGCGTCCCTGAGAAAAACCACTAAAAAATATTTCATTGCTTTTATTATACACCATGACCAAAAAAATAACACTACCTGTATTACTATATTTCAGGAATAGACGAACAGAATCGTATGCGTTTCTCAAAGATTTTAGTTTACATGTAGAAATTCGTAAAGTTGTAAATCACACGATCACACTTGACACCATAAATAGATCCACGAACAAACAAGAAACAGCTTAGCGCAAATACTGAGTTCCTGCTGTAGTCCATAAAGATAGCACTTATTACAAATTAGGTACCATACGAGTTCTCCGCCCACCGCAGCGATCCTCATTTATTCCTACGACTAGACTCTTGTGTTCAGTCGTTGCCAGTTGCCACGTGCCCGTACTGCACAAATGACGCGACGGCGAGTCAGCGCAACTCAGTAACTTTAGGGCGTGTTCCGGACTGATGCTCGATGGAGCGAGCGGAGCGATTCCAGAACTTCGTGACGTCAGGCAGTGCACTTTGGCCAAACCAAATGTGCTTGTGTAGTGTGAATAAAAAGAATTAAAGAGTATTGAATATGTGTTAATCCTGCTACTAAACAAGTCGATGTTTTTAATATACTTAGGGTCATATTCTCCGTAGTTCATAAAGCCTGGCTTAGTAGAAACGCTTGGCTTTTTGTGTGACAAAGCCGAGCTTTTCCACTAAGCCAGGTTTTATGAACTACGGAGAATATGGCCTTTAGTGGGTTTTTACATTTTATATTATAAATTAAAGGCCAGCAGTTGGCCTTCCATCCTCTAGTGGCCCGTAGGACATGACCTAATTGTCCTAATGGATAAAATGTGCCTGTGCAGACGATGCAGTTTATTATAATGACGCAATTAATTCTTTGAAAAATAAAAATCATGAGACTCAAATAATAATGTTACAACAAATAAGAGTTATGTCTTCTGCAATTGAAAATTATAATAGTTCTGTTGTTTCTTCAAAATTAAATGACGAAAAATTAAATAACAATTTCGAAAAATTTAAAAAAATTAATGATCAAGCTATGTGACTTCAGTATATGAACATATTAATTTACTATTACATATTATAACTGAATTAACTGAAGAATATGATTTTATAATTTCTTAAACACTTTTTGCCAAGCAAAATGTTATTCACCCAAATGTGATTAATCCTAAAGATTTTAGAAATGAACTTCTCGTAGGTACCCCTTCCTAATCCGAAGTACGAGTAAAACTAGGTTTGCTTCGATAAAAGACCTGTCTAGTTGCAAGAAGATCGACGACAAGGCCCAGTTATGTAAAGATTTGATAACTTACCTCACTGCCCAGAACACAAATTGTGAAGTGAGCCTGAAACTCAATAAAATCAAACAGATCCCTGATGACTGCAACACGAAAATCATAAAAGCCAATTTGGAAATTTACCACAAAATTTCCCAGAATCAAAGGCTGTTCATTGTCTCTTCTCATGTTGCACCAACTCTGTCATGTGATGCCCATCTGGCATCTTGAAGCTGAAGCCTCATTGCAAATGTTTCACTTTTTCTACTGTTATGCCCTCGACTTCAAACCAAACAAGCACATTCACCCATTTCCTTCCTGACAGCTACATCTTCTTGAATTCCAATAAACCTGTCAGATTTTTACAGAAAATTCCAAGAGCTCGACAAGAACCAGAAGCACTCGAGCTGAAAGTAGTTGTTGGTACCACTAACAAACCAGATGGTACTCAGCAATACCGAAACCCTCTGATACCACGAGGGATATGATCAATTTCCAAAGGGGAATAAAAATTAATCAATCAAATCAACTTATTGATTAATTTTAACGGGGAAGGAATGTGTCATTATTCGGCATTCCGCTTACTCAGCATAGTTGTTAGGTTTCCATATTATAGAGATCATTCTTGAATCAACCTCCGAACCAGATTGTCAATAGGGACTTTTTAACTTTAGCTTTAATGTCAATTATTGTTAATCGGGTTTTAGTACTAATACGTTTTAATGTGTAATTATTAATAAACGTAACAACGGAATAAATTGATGCCAAGAGACTTGTTTCTTCTCCCCAAATAAAAGTATTTAACAAAACATCTCCAATCAATGAATGGGATTATTATTTTAACAAGTACCTTCGAAATTTTTCAGTTTATTAACGCGATAAAATCTAATTGATGTGGAAGTATTTTAAGACTAGATAAATGTTATATTTTCCGTATATTTATGTACATAATGTCCACATTATGTCTTAATTGAACTATCAACATTTAAACAGCTTATTATTATTTTTCACAGGATTTTACTGAAGTTAGTAATACTTATCAAAATAGCACTAAGAACTATTCAGCATTGAAAATATGTGATTCCTGAGAAAAATACCATCGCATTCATTTAGCACCAGTAATTTATTAATCATTGCAAAATATTTCTCATGCATACGTAAAATTATTTATGTGGAAATAAACTATGATTCATTGTTCCGATAATGCAATTTTTAGACTTTTTACAGGGTCGCCTAGGGAAGTCTCTAAAATTTTATTAGATTATGATTGAGAAAATCAATCTATCATTTTTATGTTGTTTATGTCATCATTTTCTAATTCTTCTTTTCTTCCCTTCTTTTCACTAAAAATGTTTTATGGTTGAACGCAAGCTTCTCACACATTTAAAATTACGTTGGTTGAAATTTTATTGAACCAAAGTAGTGACTGAATATGATAGGTACCTACCTATTAGAAATTTCTATTTATAATGTACCCTGAACTTTAGATTGTGACACTATATATAAATCTATGAACGACCCCTATTGAAAAACAAAGACGGATAGGTCCTGGTTCAATAAGGGTCACCAAGAGATAAGAAATAATAATTCAATTGTTCTAATTATCAATTCTATATGCATGAATAAGAATGATTGGGAAGTGGGAGTTCAGTTTTTCAATAGCCTGTCAAACTAGGGCATTCCAGAAATCTAGGGCAGGAAAATAATACAGTCCACTCATTTACCCAACAATACACCCAGTATAATACTTTCACAATTACTTATTCAATAGAAAATATCTAAAAGGTATTCGCTGCAACATCAACATCCATTGTCTTCGGTTAATCACGAAAATTTCCTAAAATTACCAATTAACACCTTCGAGGTTTTGAAAATAATTTTATAAGGAGAAAAGGAACCTCTTAATAATTAGCACTTCATTATTTCAGCAATTGTTGTCGCCTTTTGTTTTCTATATATAGTTCTGCATTTGCATTCAGGAGCACAAGTTTCTGACTAACTATATCCTGTGAACAGTGTTTCAAATAAGAAATTTGTGAAAAAAAAAGTGCTTTTAAAGGATGGATTACCAAATTATTACTGTAAGTGTTAATTCATTTATTCATATTTTCGATGCAGTATCATAATATTTTTTATAAAACTTGCAAATTGTGAATCTTTATTTATATAATTATGACCAAACAGAATTCCAAAAACTGGTTGCCAATTTTTTTTTTATATTAGCTGCTTTTACACCTATCTTAGCTAACCTAAGTTATTCTGAAATAAAGGACCGTTTTTTCTAACATCTTAGATAAGTAGTTTATGTCAGTCGAAATTACCTCCCCCCTTGCCTATGCCTTAGTTCAATTTCTTACCTTAGGTTATGTTTATTTAAGGTTAGATCCTTCATCCATCTAATGTGTACATTTGAACTACAACTTAGCTTAGCTAAGATTTTCAAAGTTAGCTAAAATAAGACAGTGTGCAGGAAAAAAGCAGCTAATGCAAATGTTCTTTAACTAAAACTTCAAATTAAAGTTCACTTTTTATTGTTTCAGATACCATTATTGTTTGGCATTCTCTTAAACTTTGGCACATCTTCACCTATAAATCAAAAACAAGACACAAAAGCAGTCTATGTACCCTATGACGTCCAATACGTTCCGGTGGAAGTACCAGAAAAATTCCTTCAAGTAGAACCGTTGAATTCCAAAAACCAAGCTTCGGTAAATCAAATATTTTTGAAAAAAGAAGACATTTTAAAGCATATTAATAATGAAGCAAATCATTTCATCGAACCAGTGAAAAGTCATCCTAATGATGGTGATAGTAATTTAATTAGGGTTCCACTTTCGAGCATAAATCAAGGATTTGAAGGTACTAACAATTTAGTGAAAGAACCTACAATATTTCAACAAAAACTAACCAATGATAGCAAAGACATTATTGTGGTTCCTCTATCAGCCATATCAAAAACACAAAAAATTCAAGCTGATCCAAAAGAGGATCTTGTAGTTTTACCGTCAGCTAATCAAGTTTCGCATAAAATCGTTAAAAGACAAGCGCAAAGGTTTCCAATGTTTAGACCTTTCATCAGGATAACGAATGTTAGTGCAAATAGACGAAGATTCGGGCCCTCCAGAAATCCAGCTCTAGTTGGCTATATGAGTAATAGAGACTTCTTCCCTACAGTTGCTTGAAAAGTTCAAAAACAACCCGCATGTTCTGGATATTCATATAAAGTCACTAAAACAGTCTGCTGTTATTAAGTTATTTATTTATTTATTAATGGAATGTAATTTAAATATACATACTTCGACTGCCATTTATATATTTTTTAATATTAAATTGATAATAGGGACTTGTGATACTGAATTTACTTTATTATGTTTTTTTTAAGTATTGTAATATTATTTTTAATAAAAGAACTCATTTTACCCAGAAAAAAAAAATGGTTTTGGTGTCTTATTACCTCAAATTAGTGATGTTATATTTCTATTCACCATATATTTAACAAGTAGGGATAATTTTTATTAGAGAATAATGAGATTAAAATACAAAGTGAACATTTTATAAAACAAGAAAACCAAAAGAAAAGTGTTTTGCGAATTTTGAGAGATGTAAACCAATAAGTATGTGTAATCTGGAGGTCAATTCTTGAATATTTTCGCATACACGTAATTGGATTCGAATTGAAATGACAGCAACGTAAATTTAATGGGAAACATTCGAAATCAGAACACTTAACGCTAAAACTGTTTAATGTACTTTTTTGCAATTGCCTAATTATACTGCGTACGGCTAGTCAGCATCAGTTCGGAGGCCATGGATTTATGGATTCCCTGTATACATCTTATCTCTGGGCGCCACCAAGTTAATTGTGACTTAACTAGGAAGATTACCTAATGATGTCATAAACAAAACCTGTGCAATTGGAGAGCTTAGCAATAAAACAACTAATTAAGTACAATAATGTATCTGGCTTTCTTTATTAAAAATAATAACAATAATAAATAGGGATAGCCAGGACGTTGTTAAAAAAGTATATAGATTAAGGCTTGTACCCAATTTATAAATATTTGTATAAAAAAAAAATGAATGTAAATAATATATATAAAAATGTGGATTTTAAATAAACAGTTTTAACTGTTTATTTACACTTGTGAAAGATTAAAGACTACAGTTTGAGCTACACTCTACCAACAGGCAAATTTAACACCAGAAAGGTGAAAATTATTGTTAGGGCTACCTCAGGGTAAAATTCTAGAATTTTATTTAAGGGGCACGTACTGAACGTAATCCAGTGCCAGGTGATTTATATAAGATTTGCCTAAATAGTAAAAAGTGCAACTTACATATATACAAGTGTTAGTTATCTTCAAATGTATGTGTAAACTCAGAAGTTTCTAAAGTGAGGTTGTCTACATGTTTGGTCTCACTGTAGATAGACTATGATATGGTAAGTGAGTCCAATGGAAGTCCTATCCAAGTTTTATCTGTTTAACGTAGAACTCAACATGGTTCTATCACAGTGGTACCAAAAGGGTGGCTGAAGGGAAGCTACCAAAGCCCCAACTAAGAACAACCTAGTTCCAGCCTAGAATCTCTCTAGATATAGCCTAAGATGCTCTAACTACAGCCTAGGATCCTCTAACCTCAGCTTAGGACCCTATAACGATGTTCGCATAAAAAAATAGATCGAGCCTCAAACATTAGAAATAATTTTACCTCTAACTGAGGAATGCTCTAGAAAAGTGAAGTCTTAAACTTCCAAAAGCTGCTCGGAACAATCCTATTGAAAAAAGGAAACACGTGTTGTAGGTTAATAATCCTGAAGAAAATCTCAACACTTACCGAAACAAAATCCAAAATGACCAAAGGACAACTCTAGACAATGATTAACAAGAAATTAGTCTAATTGGAGTTTCCCTGGCACAAAATTCCAAAAAGTCTTGCCCAAAAATTATTAGAGCCAAAACCGGACCTCGAAGCATGTGCAAAACAAAAGGGCAGATTCTTCCTTTAAGATTTGGGAAGAAGGCTTCCATTCGTCAAAGTTCTAATTTTGACATTGATGAAAATTATAGAAAAAGGCGTGTTAAGTTTCACCCCAAAAATACGAACTGAAAAGTGGGTTGTGTATAAATGACTCCAGATAACCGGTGAATGTGAAATTTGCTTATATAACATATATCAAAAAGTAGAACAGGTCTAAAGAAAATGCCTAGACAAGATAGCTGTTCAATAACAGATGTATCATGAAACTTAAAAATCGAAAAAAGTAAACAATAGCAACTATCATAACCTCAGATTATTTGATTGGATTTGCCAACTAGTCGATGGTACTCTCTCCTTTTATAAGATTCTAATCAATAACAGCGGGCCCTGCCGTACTGAATCAAACCTTCCTAGATCGATTGACCACAATTGCAAACCTGAACCAAAAAAACTTCTAGTAGAAGGCAGGTAATAAAATCTGGGCACAGGAAAGATAGTCGTTTATTCATGTATTTCTTTATAGTTCTATATGAAATCATATCCACTAGAGTGAAACAAAGTAGCATATTAGCCAAGGAATTGAAAATGCTACAAAAGAACGATTTCCACTCCCACGAACAGATGATTTTTTTGGAAAGTTTAAAGGGTTGTCAATATTTCCATTTCAATCTGGCGAGTGGTAATCACCAGATTGAAATGGAAGAGTCATCCATCTCATAGACAGCTTTTATTACGCTAGATGGCCACTACGAGTACTTTATCGTCCCATTTGGCTTATGTAATGCGCCTGCAATATTTCAACGAACTATAAATAAAGTTTCAAGCAATTTCGTAGTATGGAAAGGCTATTGCATACATGGATGATATTTTGTTGCCAAGTCAGGATTGTTAAATCTAAGAGAGGTGTTTGGAGCAGTAGCTGCTTATGGTCTTACATTACGAGTGTCAAAATGTCATTTTTTCAAAAAAAAAGGTCGAATATTTAAGTCATGAAGTTTCTGAAGAGGAAGTGCAGCCAGGAAAAGGAGAAACTGAAGCAGTTAGTAATTTTTCTGTCTTCTCAGATGTTCGATCTGTTCGTTAGTTTTTGGGTCTTGCTGGTGATTTCAGGAAGTACGTGAGGAACGAAGCTTCAGTCGCTAGGCCTCTAACTTCTCTGACCAAAAAAAAAATATATATGTTAAGTTTGATTGCAATATTGAGCAAAGTAGAGCTTTCAATAATCTTCGAGACACCAGAAATATGGACGGTATACAGAGATATAGACTGAAAGGAAGATAGGTATAAATAAATGCCTTACATATAAAGAAATACGCGTGTGTGGAATGAAGATAGGCACAAAGAAATACCTATTTCATAAAGAGACTGTATCAAGAAATACATGGTGAAATGAAGATAGGTATAAAGAGATACCTATTTCATAAAGAACCTATATCAAGAAATACAGGGATACATAAAGATGGGTATAAAAAAATACCTATTTCATAAAGAAACTGTATCAAGGGTTTACTGAAAATAGGTATAAAGAAATACCTAGTTCGTTAAGAAACTGTATCAAGTAATACAGGGTGAAATGACGAAGACTAGACCGATTATAAACTTTTTGTATTGCATTGTAATATAGAATCAAAGATCTACCAGATATTATGATTTATTTCATCACATGCAGAATCCGATAAACTGACAATGATCGATCGAGGACAAAACAAACCATGACTCATAAAATAAAGAACAACAGAATTAATAACTTTATTATTCCGTGGGAAAAAAGTTAATAACCTATAATATTCAAATAACAATATTAATTTTTATTGTTTCAATTGAAGTATAAATGCTTTTTAATCTTGAAAGAATTGAGTACTAATGCGAATTAGTCCCTAAAAAAACATTTCATATTAGATTTAATTTATATCACTTCCAGCTACTGGATTAATTTACGCGAAAGTATTTTTGAAATTTGTTTTGGTGACTATTTCACTAGAGTGTATTACACCAGCAATAAATTCGGTATTCACCTGACAATAACGCTACCTGGACAATACCAACAACATGGTATTTCAGCGACCATCTTTTGACATTGTCAAACTGGTATTTTTAATTTGAAGTTTTTATTCATAATTTTGCATTCTATTTATTTCAAAATCTTACGTAAAATAGTCATGACGAATACCATTCGAGAAAAAATTGTGTAGGCAAAATTGTTCTCAAGGTTTTATTCAAGTTTGTTGCTTTTCGGCAATTTCGCTCATGACATTTTTGATAAAAATGTCATTCGCGAAATTGCCAAGCAACAAACTTTCATACCTTTCGAAAATTTTGCCAACAAAATTTTTTCTCTTGTGATATTATATATGATTATTCACTTAAATTCTTGCCATAGTTGGGGAGAAACTATTGATAGTTTCAATTCACAAAAGAGATAGTCCAAGAGCCGGCCATACTAACGGGTATATGATCGTTGCAATGGATAATTTCTACATAAAACAATAGTTCATAGTAACCTTTAAACCAAATGGATGGGTTGCCTCGATTCTCATGGCCGTAAAGTTGTTTTATAAAATGACACTTCAGGAACCATAAGCGCAACAAATAAGAAGTACCTTACGGTGTAGGGGGTTCTCATCATATGCGGCAAACACTTTATTAACACAATTTCATGTTTCTTTTTTTGTCTAAAGACCTACATCTGCATGCAAAATCCTCTTCACAGAGTCCTCTTTTAACTTTGAAAGTGACTTTGAAGGCTGTCACTTTCAAAAATTTGTATATAACGCGTGCCCTCGACTTTCAATGAGGGTTGCCATCATTTCCGGCCATCAAAATCGAGGCCACCCTATATATTATTTGAGAAGACATATTAAAGAATATATCTACCAATTTTCAGCTATTGCAACGATAACATTGCTCCTTCGGAAAAAGAGGGGTAGTTTACGCCCAGCCATCAAAGGGTTGCGGCCATGAGAATCGAGGGCACCCATCCATTTACTTTAAAGGTAACTATGAGCTATTCTTTTATGTGAAAATTATCCATTGCGACGATCACATACCCATTAATATTGCCGGGTCTCCTACTATAATTATAATTTCAACTTTATTGATAATTTTATATATATATATATATATATATACAAGCTGACCCGGCGAACTTCGTACCGCCTCTGAATGATTAAATACCTATTGAATGTTGTGTTAACGTATCTATGGCTTTGGTTGAAGAAAATTAATGTTTATTCTCTGGATTAGAAATCACCTGAAATTAAAATTTTCATGTCATCGCCCAAATAAAGAGCGTTCTGGGAGCAGTAAAACCGAAAATGCTATAAGATAATACTGTTACGTCGGTTGAATGCGCAAACAAAAATAAGTTGGGTTATGTAGTGGTGAAAAGCAGAAAAAAATTTAAAATTTTTAGGGTGGACCACCCTTAGCACTTAGGGGTATAAAAAATAGCTTAAAACCTATTCTCAGACCTACCGAATATACACATAAAATTTCATAAAAATCGGTAAAGCCGTTTCGGAGGACGACGCGTCTAGTATTTTCCTGTTTCTGACTATTCCCTCAACCTTTCCATGTTAGTATGAATTCAATTCTATGTAAGGTTTTTGAATAATCATAAAGTTTAATATATCTCATATGGAACTCACGCTTTGGGTTGTGATGTTTGGAAGTGGCGTGGGGTGTGCCTCTGGTTGTTCTAGCATGATCCTAATGGTGGTGTCTACGTTGCGGTCTTGTAGGGGGTATAATGGAGGGTTCTTCCGAAATTGCTCTTCGAAACTATCTGCAAAGGTTTCCGCTTTTCGGACTGGATCGGTTATTGTAGTGTTGTTAACCTTATATACGGTAAGGTGTGCTTTTCTGTGGTCCTTTTGTGAGACTCTTTGCAAGTTGGAAAAGGTCCGTTTCAGTTGAAAAGACTGCCTTCAGTTTCTCTTGCCAGGATTCATCGTAGCATTCGTTAACTTGATTCTGGATACCAAAAATTACATTTACCTATATATTATAAAATAGTAGTTATACTCTAATTTCCAAATATATGAGGTTTAAAAATGTTTTATTATTATGTTTTCACATAATACTCTGGTATTCTTTATTTGCCAGTTTCATTATCGAAAGCGGCGAGGAATGTCAGTCAATACGAATCATATTATTATTCACACATTACACAAATTTATTTTGGTTTCAATCAGGATTCTTCAAGAAAACTAATTTGGCATAATCGAAACAATAAACTGGCAAATCAAGAAGCAACGCGTATTTTCTTGACGTATGAATTAACAACGAATAAATTAAATTTTGGTATATAAAAACCTTTGGCTTTAAAATTGAAGGTAATTTTGTGCGTAATATCAGAGCATTTCGTTGGTGAAGTGATTTTTGAAACTTCAACACAATGTTTTCTTCTGTAAGTATTATTAAATTTAGCTCCCAATTTTTTATAATAACTTTCTATTGTAGATACTATTAATTAGTTTGGTCATTACATGTTCAGTAACCAATCCTATCACTCGAACGGATAATATTGACAAAGAAATCGGGCTCGACCTTTTCGAAGAAAAATTTGAAAATAACCCATATTCCAATCCAGAAAGTTACATCTTGGTTCCAGCTTTTATTGTCAAGTCTTCACAAACTGATGGCAAAACTCATATTTTAGTAAAAAGACAATCCTCAGGTGATAACAGTCGAGCAAACAGGAACGAAATAGGATTTTACAGAGGCCAAGCCTATGTCGGATATCTCAATAATTATGACTTCTTCCCAACAGTGGCAGTTTAGTAATTTAAGTACACAAATAAGACTGCTTTATTAGGTATCTATTTATTTTAATTTTTCACTAATAAGTACCTAGTTAAATAAAACTCAAGTTGATATTAATAGGAAATATTTAAAATAGTTTCTTTTTACTTACAGATTAATTTACAAGAGTCTCTTAAGCTCCTACTGATATGTGATTATTTTTTCAAGTGGCACATCAATCTAATCAGTTGGTAAATAAACAACAGGTACATTAGGTTCCGAGTTCAATGTTTTTATGTGACAATAAATAAAAAAGCTTATACACTTAAAAAAAAATCAGATACATGACAATTGACCTTTTCAATTTAAAAGCCCCTCTCTCTGGCATCAAACTGTCAGACGCCAAAAGAGTATGAAAACAATGGTTGACAGCCGTTGACAGTGGTTTGTAGACAAGACTTTTGAAAGAAACTATTATTTTCTCGGGTTTTTAAAGGTTTTTTTCTTAACAATGGTGATTGTGTGTAGTGTGCCTATCCATAAAACTAATTCCTATTTTTTATTCCTATTCACCGGCGCGGCGGACGTGTTTTTCCATAAGTTTCCATCAAATCCTACATTTGTCAAAACTTGGATACACAAAATCAGAATGCAGAAAGGATACTCGCAAAAGAAAGGGAAATCCACGGCCCATCAAGTATACAAAGTAATCCACGTTCAAGTTTAATTTGCAGAAGCTGTTTGCTTCCAAATTAATCCACCACCGGCTCCATAGTGAAGTTCTGCGAATGAAGGTTCTGTGGAATGAAGCAGTGACTTTTTCCACATTTTCTTCCCAATTTCAAACCCTGCGTTTTTATTATCAAATTTTACCGATGGATCCATTATTCTATGTCGGTCATTGTCATTTTCCATTCACTTCTTAACAAAGATAGCTAACTCATTGGTGAAGTCACCGATTCAAATAAAAATGAGGGGATTGCTAAACACCCAATACACATTGACATTCACAAGCAAGCAAATTTTGGCGGGAAAATGAATGTTTTCATACTTATCGTCCATCTCTTTTAATTGAAAACGTCAATTACTGACATAATTCGAGAAGATTTTTATAGCATTAGCTAGCACCAATTGAAGATAATCTCCTGGAACCTTATGAAATTAAAAGGGAAAAAACTGTAGGTTGAAGAACTGCTTAAGGATCATCAACCCGAATTTTCGGCCCTACAAGAGGTTATAGGTTAGGTTAGGTCGAAGATGAGAGCTTAGTTCTTTTCTATCAGACTACTGAGCCACAATATGTTATCATTGGTCTGATGACTATGATATATTTGCTTGGGCCCAATTTCCCATGATTTGTCATAGATCCTGCAACAGGTCCATAGTGAGTAGCTAGCTTTCTGTTTTAAATTTGATGAGGAATGTTTATTTATATAGTGAAGTAATTAGTGTCAGAGTGTGTAGTAACGCGGAATAAATTATTGTTGTGATAATTGGACTTTCATTTTGGAATAAAATGAACTTATATGAACTTAGAGAAGTATACGTCTTATACTTCATATACTGATCATTCTAGAGCTGAAGTTGATCTAGAAGTGTCATGTTTCACTAGCATAGGCGAAATCCAATTGGAAAAGTGTGAAAAATCGTTTCTTAGCCCTGATACAATCAAAATTGAGCTAGAGAAATATGAATCTCCAATTTCGGACCATTCTAGACCTAAAGTTGATCTGGGAGACTTATGTTTGACTCTCATAAAGCGACATTCATATGGAAAAATGTGAAAATTCTAACAACAGTATCGTAAAGTCTAAATTGAACTACAGTAGTATAAAAATGGATATTCTAATCATTCTAGAGCAAAAGTTGATCTAGAAGGCTCATGTGTGGCTCTCCTAACGCGAAATTCAACTGGAGAAATATGAAAACTTTACTCCCGACCAGCCTAAAATCAAAATTGAACTGGAGAAGTATAAAACGCCATATTTTGATCATTCTGAAGCTAAAGTTGACATAGGTTTTTGGTTCAGGTTTAATAAGTTTCCTGTGAGTGGTCCAATGTCGGCCGTTCCAGTGCGACCTGCGGTCTATTAAAGCTCACTCCGAATTTATATTTTCCCTATCAGTCCAATGTCCGGTTCTTCTGATGAAGGTGGAAATGCGCGTTCGGGAAGTATGCTTTATGTATTCGTGTCGGAGTTGATTCGGGCTATTACCGTTTCTGCAGTTTCGTTCTCTTCTATGCACAGGCGACACACACCCACCAGGGTTTTGTGGCTATTCCTGTCCATTCCCAGAATTGTGTTGTAACATTGCAAATGTCACTTGTTTTTTTTTTTAATATAAATAATTTTTACATTTTATAATTTTGTATAATTATTCAGCCACATGGCGGCATCTATTGCCGGCTGAATTAATTATTTTATCGGTGACCTCGAGAAGGCCATAAGCACTTTCTTTTGCACTACCTTGATCTACTCGACGTAGTAATTTGTTGCTCTTTAACCTCGTTAATAGTTTTCGAACATAATACTTTTCACATAGCTGAGGGTTAACAGGTTGATAGGTTGTCCGGTATCCTTCAAAATGTCAAGTGAAATCTATTTATTTTGGAAGAGAAAGAAAGAATAACGCACACCTAACATGGGATTTTTGGGCTCTATGGATTTTGCCCATTTTCTGAAATGTTGTAGAGGATTTAATTCTTAACAACCTTTAAATGGGACGAAGTCTTGTGGGTATTACGCTCTTTGAGATATGAGCGTTGAAAGATGAACTCTTTTGCGACTTTTTGTGTGGAGAGTGTACGAAAAACTGGTGTTCATCAGTCAAAATATTGACAGGTCGACATATTTCACGTCACTAACAAATGTCGACATAGGCTGAGGCCGGGACCGCACTAGCGCCAACATTGACACCAGTGCGGCCCTGGCGTTAACCTATGTTGACAATAATTTGTGAGTGACGTAAAATATGTGTACCTGTCAATATTTTGACTGATAAACACCAGTAGCACGTAGCACCAGTATCTCGTATACTCTCCACACAAAAAGTCGCAAAAAAGTTCCTCTTTCAACGCTCATATCTCAAAGACCGTAGTACCTACAAGATTTCGTCGCATTTAGAGGTTATTCAGAATTAAATCCTCTACAACATATCAAAATTGGCAAAATCCATAGAGCTCAAGAATTCCACGTTAGGTGTGCGTTATCTATTGAATAGTCCCTTTTCTAATCTTGCTGTTGCCCCAAAAACGTCGAGTGTGGCTGGGCTGGGGGCAGCTATCTTCCTCAAGTGTAATTATCGTTCTCGTGGAGAAAAGTACCTTATCGGCCTTCAGGCATTATCGTAACGAAATAAAGTTGCGTAGAGCAATAATCCATTGATTACCGAGAAAATTTAAACGAAAAGTCTTGTGATTACCGTTTTATTCAAGTTAGAATTTCGACCCCACTCGTGGTAAGTTTCTTCAATTTTTTTTTTTTCAAGTAATGCTTCATGGAATGCCTTATTACTTAGGGTCTTTCGGAGACCCGTTTCTCTTAACAAGTCCATTCCAAAAAGGCCACATTTTCAATAGTAACACCATTTCTGTGGAGTGTGGCATAGAGTTTTTGAAGGGATTCCTACCCTACAAGAATCAAGACCCTCACAAGTCGATACGTGTGCCCTACATTTGACGACAATTCTAGTCCCTTGTCCGCCTGGATTCTAGGCTAGAATCCGCCAGTTCCATGTGCAGTTTTCTTCGTCAAATGATCGAAAATGGATGGCTACCGACCACCGTACTGTGATGCATAAAAAATCGAGAACAAGAATTGAATTGTTATTTTTAACATTTCTTTTACCATTCTTATTTTCATCAAAACAAAATTACAAGTCCATTTTACAAGATAATGATTATTTGTAAAAATATTACATTTTTTGTAGTTTGGATGGTAATATAGAAAAAAAAAACATACAAAAAGAAAGTCCTTTTTTTTAGTTTATTTTTGTCCTATTTTTTAATATTTCTAGAGAGGTATCTGCCGGCGTATCGCGTTCAAATATTTCGGATGATCCAGAAAAACTCTGAATCTTAATGAACGTTGATAATGGAAAGTTACATAGAGTGGTAGAACAAGGAACAGGCCTAACCCAGTATTGACCACTTTAAAACGAAAACAAAATGAACTACTCCTCTTACTTACAAATGAGCGAAAAAAGTTACCAATTACTCCACAGAGAAAATTTATTTCAATAAAAAAAAAAATGCAAAAACCCGCATCTAATCTTCAACGTCCTCAAAGAGAAGAAAATAAAGCATCAATTTTGCAGACAATTAGACTCTAAGGATAGTACCACGGACTCGACTACGGATTAATATAGAATATTTAATTTTAAGGCATGTTCAAATTACAATATTTTTTGGTAAAAAATGTTTTAATAGTTTTCTTTTATTTATTATTAATACTGATTTTAAGTTTATTTTTGTTGTTGTGTGCCTCCTGCTGATTTTCAATTTAACGAGTTCTTGATAAATATCAATTTTTTTTTTGTGCAGTGTATTACATTGCTCCAGTCAACCACCTTTTGCTGCAACCGAATATACACCTTCCTCCAAATTCAATACGCTCGGCTCGGCTTTCGGCTACAATCGCAGTTGCTCCACATGTGATGGCTAGACTCTAGTACATACTCTACCTTTTTGTTGGAATTGAGGCTTGTATAGGTTCAATCATAACTTTTACTACCTTTTTCTATGAAATCTATTTTATTATCAATTACTATATTTGATTGAATTTTCACCGACAATGCCGTTAAATTTTAAAGTTTCAATTTCATTCATTATTCTTGACACCAGAGTGAACTCTATTTTTTTTAATTTTTGATTTGCCGTATTTACTATAGATTTTTTTTTTCCTAAATTTTAGTACCGTCATATTTGAATAATCTACTTATATTTTATCTTTTATCCAGGTCAAAGTTAAACAATATGTTCTAAATTTGAAATTGTTAGGTAAGTAAAGTCTGTTTTTTTTTTAAAGATAAAAGTCAAAATGACCCTATGTTGGCAATACAATGTAAAATTGTCAATGTTTTCAAATTTTTTATGTAGAAAAGGTTTGTGTTGCCAACATAGTTACTAAATTTTTGACTTGGGGAATTATCTTTAAATAAAAAACAAATTTTACCTATGTCGTCAAAGATTGATCAATTTTTCATCTGGGTTATATTATGTACTTATAAACTTCCTTATACCTTCAACGTTTAATCTTTGATTTCATACAGGTACAATTTGATTTTATTGAATTTATTTTTTTTACAGAAGCTGACCATATTTATCAATAGAATTTTTCAATCATTCAATTTTTTTAATTAGTTTTCTGGAAACTTAAAATCTCTATATTTTCTTTTCAAATTGATGATATAGCCAGCGACTGTTAATGAACTTATATTGCAAGTATATTGAAGTGCATTGTTATTATAATATTATTTTTTTCATTGAGCTTGACGAATCTGATTGAAAGTTGACCTCTTTTTATTAATTTGACCTAAAGTGTTTTACCAGTATTGGATTTTATATTTTGGTATTTTGGAAATTATTCACCATTCGATGATTGACCTCATTGTGAAATGTACGCTAATTTGTGTGCATTATTTATTTCTTTTTCAGAATTAACAATTATTACCGTTTGCTGATTATTTTCTAGGTGTGTTTCTGAGTTTTCACCTTTCCATATTTTAAGCCATTTATTATTATTATTTATTTTTTTTAAATTCAGTGGCGCCCTTGCCGTTATTTACTGATTAAACTATCAACCCACACCTAATAATTTTTCGCTGAGCAAACCGAGCATATTATGGGCTTCTTGTTAATTCATTAACAAGAGGGGTTACAGTGTCCGACACAGTTTTCCTTTTTGTGGTGGGTACAATAGTATATTACATACGGAGATGGAAAGTGTTTCATTATTGTCGAGAGATACAACAATTTTTTTTTTTTTTTTCAAAAATGTGTTCTACTAAACTGAAGACATAGTCATGTCAAATATCAAGCATTAAAAATCAGCCGTTTTTTATAATTATTTGAAGTTGCGCTCGAAACATCGCCATTTGAAACGACCTATTAGTATGACGTCACTCGGCAACAAAATTCCGTTGACAGTGACGAGCATTTCGAACTTCGAGCAGTCAGATTTAGATTATGGTTATGTTGTTATGTATGCCGTTCAATGAACTATAACCAAAGATTGGAATGCGAACACATATTGACGAACGTGAAGCCTAGTGCCGCTGCTGCAGAGGGGATACCTGTTTTTGTCGCACTCATTAAGTTAAATGGCGGAAATTGCTTCCAACACGTATTCCAATTGATGAAACCTGTGAAGGTAAATATGACAAAACTTTCGAAAATGTCATATGTCAGCAAGCAACAGAAAAAAACAACATTCCCCTCATCTCAAAAAATACAATAAATTTTAAAAATTTCATTTACTTTCGGCCCACGGGTCGAAAGTAAACTTTCGACCCGTGGGCCGAAAGTAAAAGTCAAAAAAGTGACATTTTCGAACTTTTTAAAAGTCAGTAAAGTCAACATTACATGTATGATTGTAAATAAAAGGATTTTGCATTGTTCATACCTGGTTACCTCTCAGTATTGTTTGGTTTTTATATTAGCCCAATACTGGTTCCTGTCCAATGAAGTTAAACTCAGATCCAACATTTGCAAGTTGATGCGCTTTTTCGTTGCTCTCTTGTCCGGTATGTCCTAGTATCCAGACTAGTGAAACGTTGTTGTTCTCCCCTAGCTGAATTAGGGCTTGTTTACAGTTCCATAATATTTTCGATCTACAGTGTATGGATGCCAGTGTTCGATGGCCTGTAGATCTGCCTAGAATATGCATGCATTTTTCCCAAGGCTGGTCGAAATTTCCTGTCTTGTCTCACCATATACCCCTTCTCTAAGTCCATAGTTGGTTTTGGAGCCGTCTGTGTCACCTTGCCCCACCATACTACAGATCCTTTGGTCGAGTGATGACTATGGTGTAAATTCAGTGGATTTGCTTTGGACTTGTGCCGCAGGTCTTTTCACAGATCCTGCGCTGCCGCAAGATCTAAAGTGACAGTTTTGCCGTTTGACTTACTTTTTTTCAAATGAGCATTCCAGTTTAGAGTCTTGGCACTATTTCTCCCCGAATATTCAGGGGTACCAGATTATCGAGTTTTCTTCTAGTAGTAAAGGGTAATATGGTCATTTTTTGAGGATTGATAATCATTTTTTTTCTCTCAAACCAATCAAGCACGCAGTCTAACACTTTTTGGAGTGCAGCTGCAACCCTCGTCTCGGAGCTACCTTTAGCTATAATTTGACTATGCACCAAAATCTTTGTGCCAAGCGGCTTCGCGTATCCACCACTTCGATTCAGCTTGGCTTCCTTTGATCCGGACCAACTTTTGGTCCGTTTGGTAAACCGTTAACTTTTTTATGACGATCGGCAATGCTTATTGACACGTTTCCACAAATTCTGCTTTACGGATCGGCTATGCCGATTTCGGTGGAAACGTACCCTAGTTAGGCATGGTAGCAGAATCCCCAGTCCGTTTTGTAGCAGAGCAAGGGAAATGCCGTCCTCCCAAAGCGATTTAAAGGGGTGCCCCTTTTATGGTCGCGGCTGGAATTACTTTGTCGGCCAGTTTTCCCTTCCAGGTCGTTTAATCCGATCGCTAGGTTGAGCGTCTTGAAGGCCATTCATCAGCAGACTTGGAAGTGGAAGTGGTTTTCTACGAGAATCTCTAACGTTTCTTTTCTGGATTGTGTGTAAAATCCATCAGGGCGTTTTATCGACCCTAGCTCCTGCACACTCTCCTTTGACAGAATTTTTTGGATTCATGCGCTGCTTGTCACATCATTTTTGCCTTCGCATAGCCTCCTCAAAGATTCTGTTTTTGTCTTTTTTATCTCTTTTTTGTAGTTTGCTAGAGCAGCTCTATATTTTACCAACATTTATTTTACCCACTTGCCTGCTATTTTAGCTCGGTTAAACAATTTCCGAACTTCTCTTCTCTTCTCTTTTTTTGGCTATTGTTCCACCAGGGATGTGTTTCGGGTCAGGGCCTACCTGTACCTTTTTTCCGCCCTTGCTGGTAACTTTTTTCAGGCATAGAAGACTCATGATTGACGACTTTCATCATAAAAGCGAAATTTTTATGGAGAAGACTGAAAAAAGTGAAAATCCTATTCCCAGTCGAAACTGACCATCCTCGAGCTAAAGTTAACCTACAAATCTCATGAAATTGAACTAAAAAAGTATAAAATATATGGAAAATATATTTGTTAAAATTCAATATAATTCCAATAAAATCAAATAACATTATAATTAACATTATAAATAATAGTTTCATAAAATTATTTCAATGCTATATTCATTGAGCTTCTATAAGATGTACCGGCTCATCATAGAGGCCGAACTGGTTGAGGTATATTTTAGCAGCGTGGTATAACATTTTTAATTGAATCTAAAAAAAAATTGAAATGGTTATCTACAATCTATAATTAATCAGTTAAAATAATCACTGACTATGGAACCTGAGATATTATCTCTTACCCCATTGTTGACGAACTGCTTTCTACACACTCTTATTGTCCTTATAATTTGACAGAGGTCGAAACATTTTTCGGTTTTTATTTGCTCGATAAGTGTAGCCAGGGCTATAAAAAATCCACTTGCAGTAGCTCCATCGCTAAAAATATAATATGATGTTTTAACCATAATTATACTAGTTCTAAGTAATTAAATCAGAAAAATATTATTAACTAATCAGAAATACTATGCTTTTGATTTTAAAAAATCTGTATTATTTTGTAAAATTTCTGAGGTCATGCTATACCTTCGGTGAAAAATTATTACAAAAGCAAATAATTCACTTACTGGCAAGTCACAATTAGGGGCTCAATATCATTATCGACAATTGAAAAAAATTCAACGACAAAAGAGACAAAATCTTCAAGATTTTCCGGGATTAAATTGTCACTGGGCCAGTGATTGAAATTTAATATCTGCACCTTCAATCTGCTTTGCTAAAACAGAATAAAAAATAAATACTATTATTACTAGGTACTCGTATTTATTGTTCTTTATTTTCTGAGTCGAAGTCTTTACTATCGTGCTAGAACGGTTCATCGATTTCCAATTTTTCTCCATCTGAATTTTGTATGATTTCAGTGCATTTACCGCAGCAACAAAATTTTCAAATTATTTTCATAAAATATCTACACGATGACTCAGCTTAACCCAACTTAATTTAACTCAAACGTAATTTTTTCGACTACCTACTACTCTGTTATTTTCATATAAAAAAAATATAAAAAAACGTATGATTACGATCTTTAAATCGCTTAGGTGTGGTTCAAAATCTTTAAAGGACATCGCACACATCTTATGGGTTTTCGGGGACCGGTAGATTTTTTTTAAAAATTTGGTATGTTGTAGTACTAGTGAAAATAAGTATTTTTCATCATTGCGCAAAATCTCTAACTATACAGGGTGACCCAGTAAAGTGGGTCCGAAAATCATTGCCAAGCCTTTCATTTATTGATGTTGGCACGCATTGCAAGCTACATATCGGGATTTTTTTTTCTATTTTGCAAATAAATAGTCTAGATAAGCCTAATATATTATACAGGGTGGCTAACCTTACGTATTCTTTTAGAAATACTGTACTATTCTTAGTAATAGTGTTATGAAAAAAGTCGTGCTGGAATTAATTTGCCCGTAACTTTTCCAATTTTTGTCTGATTAGAAAATCTGGTCTCAAAATAAAGCTTACATCACAGAGGGATGTCATGAAATCTGAAAAAATTACAAATCTCAGAATTCGCGTGAAATATCGCCTTTTTTGGTCAGACATCGTCAATAATTTACATCTGAGGAAGCAAATAATACTCGTAAGATTACAAAGACATGTTGGATGGACATTTGAAATCTGTGTTTAACACAGAATGTTGTGACTAGTGCAAAATATTGAAAATGCCCTACATGAAAGGATTCAAAGAGAAAAACTCCAACTTAGGGATGGTGGGGTGGGCATTAAGTCGATTTACATGAAAATTATATTAATATTTCTATTCTCACTGTTGAGTATTCATGAACTAAAACTTTCCGAATATATCTAAATATTTTCGGGGTTCACACAAGATAAGTAAGCAGAGATTTTCTGTTTGTATCATTTTTGTTCTCCCCTGGGCTGGATGGAGGGAATCCAGTATTGGGCACATACTGCACATGCAAAGTTATCGCGTTGTTAGGTACTTTAGCTACGCTCGACATGAGAACAATGTGAAGTATCCATCAAATACGTTACTTATATTAGGGCCGGTTTATCAATAGCGAGTCATTTCCGGGTTGATTATAACTCCAGGGTAAACGTTTCTCCACAGCGAGTTAGCTATAACTTTTGGTGTAACCTTGGGTTAAATTGGCTCACTGTTGATGATATTGCGGGTTTAGCGATTTATGGATTTATGGATTTACCCTTTGAGATAACCTGATGATTCGTGATCGTGATTTGTCAATTTTGTGGTAATATTTTTTTTTTTTTCAAAATAGAAATATATGGATTGATTGATGAAGATGAAGATTTCTACAATTTCGTAGGAAAAACGCCTCATATAATCCGCCAAAGGATTAATCCTCTCGAGAAATACGATGACTAGGATTTCTCTACAAAGGATTAAAAATTCATGTCTGACCTCGTGCACCCTATATTTCGCTTATATTATAGCTTCATTATTATTATTTTTTCTAATTCAAGGAAGTTTTTTCCTCTTGCGATATCTTTCTTCTCCATGACTATTGACTACACACACTGCAGTAACCACGCTCTTCAAAAATTAACAAATTGACGATCGACCCATGCGTGACTGCTTTCGACCAATCAAAAATATGTTAGGATCACCATTCTGGTAAACAATAATGCTACCAACTATTGCTTAACCCAGTGTTTATTAACTCCACCTACAGTGGATGCTTGAGAAACGCAATCCTCAGTTAACCTGCAAGGTTGAAATTAGCACCGGGTTAGTTAACCCCTAGAGTTACTCGCAATTGGGGAACCGCCCCTTAATTTAGGTGTATTTGGTGTATCCAAGACCCTAATCGAATGAAAAGTTATACTTTTATCACGTTCAACCATCTCGAATTTTATCACATTTTTATTTTTTTTAGATTTCATGTCATTTCTGTGATATAAGCTTTATTTTGATACCACATTTTTTTTAATCGGACAAAAATTAAAAAAGTTACGGCTAAATAAAATCCAGCGCAACCTTTTTGGTAACACTATTTCTAAAAATAGGGCAGGATTTCTAAAAAAATACGCAAGCTCAGCTACCCTGTATAGTATATTAGGCTTAACTGACTATTTATTTGCGAAATCGAAAACAAAAATCTCGATATTTGGCTTGCAGGGTGCGCTAATACCGATAATAGAAAGGCTTGGTTTATGATTTTCGAACCTACTTTACCCTGTATAGTTAGAGATTTTGCGCAATGATGAAAAATACTTATTTTCACTAGTACTACAACATACCAAATTTTTAAAAAAATCGACCGGTCCCCGAAAACCCATAAGATGTGTGCGATGTCCTTTGTCAAAAAAAATCAAAGTAAAAATGATCGTTTCTGTTCGCTTACCTTCTTCTTTGGTGCACTTTCCATCCAGATTACACAACTTTTTTGGCTGGCCGGTAACGTTAATTTCGATTTTTTCCCGGTAGAAACTATCTTTTAATTTTAGAGAAGCGGATGCGGATTGCGGTTGACACGGCGAAATCTAGTATACCGATGTGTTCTTTTTATTCAGAACGGAACTGAGCGCATGCACCTTTTATGGGCTAGCGAACAGGTATTTCCACCATGAATACTTATTTTTAAATTTAAATAGTAATATCAAGAACATAGAAATCTTTGGATTTGCTCCATTAATATTGAATAGAGAAATTTTAATTTAATTTTTCCCATACTCCATGTTTACTTATAATCCGGACGCAATCGCCGCAAATTGCCAGCGCTAACCCACTTACAAATATTAAGTTGGATGTATAGTCACCTGAGTCACCCTGTAAAATGTCGCTAGTAGCTGGCTAACTAATTATTTTTGTTGCATTAAGGCAATACTTACCTCGAATTCATTTGGCTTGTAAATCGCCCTCAACGAATGCAAAGATATCTCTCTCTGGTTCCTGGACTGGACCAGTTGAATATGTAAATTTTGGTCAACGGCTAGTATGCCTTGTTTAGGCCAAAAAGGAACGCTTGCCTAAATATTTAGAATTAATTATAGATGATAAACAAATTAAGGCAAAATTACCTTAGCGTTTTCATTGACTGGATTCAAATTAATAATAACGGTGCATTGCTGTTCGAATACCAGTCTCCAAAAATCAGCAAGTGTTGCCGGAAGAGGCTGTTGAGTGACTATATATCGGTTTGGCTTGTAAAGACTATTAACATGGAGAGCGTTAATGTAGCAAGAAGAAGAATCCTGGTTTGGTAATTGTTGGAGGAACACTTGACTTACTTTGTCTATGAATAGAATAAGTATTACATGTAAAACTGTTAGGTATTATTTTTTGATGCGGTTTCTTGACTGTTTTTTTTTGAAATAGTGGAAGTTTTCTTGGGAGTCAGTCAGGTTGAGAGAAAAAAAAAAAAAAAAAAAAAAAAAAAAAAAAAATGAAACAATTTTTTTTTTTTTTTTTTTTTTTTACGTTTCGGAATTTTCATTTAATTCCATCCTCAGAAATAGAAATAGCAAAGTCAAAATTGTAAAAGCTAAAAATATATATAAAAAAAAAGGAAATCAAAAAACGTTTAAGGACATAAAAGAAAAGCACTTACCACAGATGTTTTTACATTTTAAAACTTATAAATATTTTTTTTTTTGTATAATGACGAGGACGATGTTACATAGAATGACAAACAGAGTTACGTATACAGCAAACAAAAATTCAAAAACATGGTTTTTTTTAAAATAAAACACATGCAGAAATGCCTGTCGCCTATTCTGTGTCACAAGTTGTACTGAAATCTAGATCAAATCAAAATTGGTGTGCATTCCTTGGTTTTACTAGGTGTCTTTTTTTTATATGACGTTCGTACATTCCTTCCTATTAAATATAAACGGTAAAATATTATTAGGTATGACATTGTTTTGGAAGATGAAAAAACTGCAAATGAGTGGTTATATAAAATTTAGAAAAAACAAGAAAAACAAAGAAAAATTTTAACTTGGAACAAACAAAAAAGAAAAGGGGCAGTGCAAAAAGGGAGGTATGAGCGAAAAATTATGGTAACTACCTTTTAATTCTCTTATGAGTTTATTAAATTATCATAAATACTACTTAAATTCTCGATATCAGTGCGGAAGTTGATAGAATTCTGATTTTTTTTAATTTGATACATTTCCTGGAAGAGTCTTTTTGAAAGATTCTGTTCTTCACCAATGATTTCGAAATTGTTGAAGTCAAATTGATGCAGATTGTTGAAGCAGTGTTGTGTTAACGCAGTATTATTTTCGGATGGTTTATGTAAGCTATTCTTATGATTTTTTATTCTTTTATGGATATATTGCTTGGTTTGACCAATGTAGCAGCTGTCACAATCTTGGCAGTTGATTTTGTAAATGGTATTAGTGCGCAAGTCTTTTTCAATAGAGGGTTTAAGTTTCGTGAAAAATTTTTTACTAAAATTATTTGGTTTTTCAGCAATTTGAATTTCATAAGGCTTTAAGCATTTTTGTATTTTACTGCAGACTTCAGGAATATAGGGTAAGGAGATATATTTATTATTCTTATTGATGGGATTCTTATTAGCTTTAGCATTATTGTTGTAGATTTTATGAATTTTTTTCTTTAAAATTGGCTCGTAAAAATGTTGGGGGTAATTGTTTTTATTAAGGGTGTCTTTAATTTTAGAAAGGTATTATATCTACCTGCTAAGATATCTGGAAATCGATTTTTTTCAGCTATAATGGGAACGTGTCTTTGTACAGCGGTCACTGTTTTCATTGCATCATCTTGCCATTCACTATCTCGTATATACGCCATCTGAGTTTGTAACTCGTTTTGCTTCAAAGTGTTATTTAATTTAGCTTCAAAATCACCGTTGTGCTTTATAAGAAAACCTGATGCTAAAAAAAAGAAAATACTTATTAGAATAATGATGGCTTAAAGTTGTTGCTTGTTACCAGTTAGTGAAGTAAGTATTGCCAAATGCGCCAGCTTATACTGTTCAATATTGTTGACCATATTTGGTCGTTGGTTTCTGAGTCGTGCCAAAATGGCAAGGATATCGACCTTACTCTTGGCGGCGGCCATTCTCAAGCAAATGTCGCACAAGATAATTGTGCCAGTTCGGCCGACACCCGCACTTGAAATGAAACATTTTAGTGTCGGTACTTTTGTTCTCAGTTTTCGAATTTGACAGCCTTTAAAAATAATCATGAGTTTGAATATGCTCTAACCACATCATACTCAATTACTCACAGACCTTATGTCAAATCCGTTAATCGAGAGCAAAAGTATCGGCCCTTAAACTATCAGAATTTGTTATTTGGCTAATTGACTTACCTGCAATGTACTAAAATTGGCGAGTTTGCTTTGTTGGGAAGGGCCAGAAGTTTTTGTAGTAACGGCATTAAGGTTTGAGGGAATAATGCTTGACCCACTGGTGGCCACGACTTGAATTGTATATGTGTTACCTAAAAGAAGACTCTTTAACATTCGAGAATTGAATAGATATATGTTTGATTTCGATTAATAGTACTCAGAAGCAGCTAACTTGATCTACTTAATAAATATATTTGATTTTATTAACAACTTTTTCCAATGCTTTTAAGTTCGTGCTTCATGAACTTAAAGTACAACCTCTTCATCGAATGAGTCATCAACACAAATACTTGGGTAGAAAGTTAAATCTTCTGAGTTTACGTTGTTGAGACGCAGGTGCAGGAAAGTGCTCGTTACTATGGTCGTTTATGGTAATCGTTGGTACGGGTCCACAAAAGGTTCATTATTAACCTTGTCCAACTTTCTTGAGTACTGATCCAGTTTATGTTGAGCTATGATCATCTATGGTAATTTTTCTTATAATATGTACTAAGACTCCAAATACCCAATAAAATAACAAAAGACCCAGAATTTCTTCAGTTGAGATCAAATAAATCGTTTCAAATTGCTAGAGAAAACATTATCAATTCTAAAATGAAATCCAAAACCTGCTACGATAAAAAAATTATTGATTTGAATTTTTCTGTAGGCGATCAAGTTTATATCCTAGATAAAGTATGGAATAAGTGAAAAACTTTCCCTGATTTATAAGGGACCATATAAAATAACAAAAATAAACTCGAATAATTCGGTTCTCAAAATAAAAAATAAGCTAGTTTCGTAACACAAGCACTTATTAAAACCATTTGTTTCAGACATAAATAAAACTGATACATTACACGCTACGTGCACTTCTCATAATGTGTCACGCCCACCTATCGCACGCGGAGGAGCAGGCTTATCAAGTAATACTAATTAATAACCAAGCAGGCATCTTTTACCAGGCACCGTGAAATTATACGATGATTATTTTACTCTCCTTTCGTTTCCAAATATTTCCTTTTCCATTCATAAATTCCGAGTTGTAAAAAAAATATATGCAAAATCAAAAAACATCTGTCATAATTCCAATCTTGGAAATAATAAAATATACGTGCATAGTTTCCATTGCACGAACTCGCTCGTCTTGTTTGATGCTCGAATTAAAACATTAGAAAATAAACTTGATACTATTATTTTAGCCGCTCATACATTTGAAACCAAACGTAAACGCAGAGGTTTAATAAACGGAGTTTCAACTGCATTTAAATGGTTGTTCAGTACAGCAGATGCAGACGATGCAGTTTATTATAATGAGGCAATTAATTCTTTGAAAATAAAAATCACGAGACTCAGATATTAATGCAAAAACAAATCACAGTAATGTCTCCTGCAATTGAAAATTATAATACTTAGTTCTGTTGTTTCATTAAAATTAAATGAAGAAAAATTAAATAATAATTTCGAAAAATTTAATGAATTTAATAACCAAGCTAGAAACACAATTGACCGAGAGTACGTATGTGACTTCAGTAACGGAGCATAATTATAACTAAATTAACTGAAAAATACGATTTGATAATCTCTTCAATACTTTTTGCCAAGCAAAATGTTATTCACCCAAATGTAATTAATCCTAAAAATTTGAGAAATGAACTTCTCAACGTTAAGCTGGATTCAGATTAAACTTTTCCAGTCAGTTTAACAAATAATGAAGATACATGTAAGTATTTTTCTATTTATGATCTAAATGTTATTTATAATAATGAAATCTATATATATAAACGTGAAATTCACTCACTCACTGCCTGACTGATTAAACACGAAATCTCGAAAACTACTAAACCAATCGAGATGAAATTTTGCAAACAGGTAGGTAATAGGTTGGAGATGCTCACTAAGAAATAATATCAACATGGCCTTAAGCAATCGCCTTAAATAACCAAAAATAAGAAACGATGTGGAGTGCGGGAGTGCGGGGAAAAAAGTGTAAACAGAAACAGACGACGTGTTAGCTGTCAAATTCAGACATATGACAAGCAGAATCAAATTCATAGCGATTTCCATTTGCAGAATCAGTGCAAAAAAAAATGTGTTTTTGTCGTTATATTTTCATGCTTTCACCAGAAACGATTCGGAACCGATTCTGAACAAATTCCACCGGTCCCAGGCTAAGCTAACTTCAAGTTTGAGACATGACATTCGCAATTCGTTCACGTATTCGACAGTATGGAGCAAGGTTCTGGAGTTTTTGTTCGATTCCAAAACTGTTCGCGATAAAATAGGAACCTGAACCCATTCACAAGTTGGGTTCGGGTTGCTCACTCCGAGTTACTCCAGCCGTTATCTGATAAGCTAAAAGGTAATACCCGAACGGCTGAAGTGCGAACGGAATCACTCGAAGTGGACGGAGTGAGCCGAACCCAGCTATAACTGGGCATGCGCTCTACGATAGTCCTCAATTAGTTCCGGACTGGTTCGGAATCGGTTCAAAATATGATCCGCCAACAAAGCTATTAGCAGCGAGTGGCACTTCAAAAAAATTTAACGTCAGTAGTCTTCATATTCTGCAGCCACAAAGCAGAACAAAAAATGTGGTTTACAGAGAGATGCTGCAAAAATAAGAGTTACATGACCATATGTCTGACGCAACTATCGCCTTAGCTCTTTGAAAGAAGATTACCTAATGCTACCTACACCCTACACCTACAAAATTTGTATAGGGCGTGCGAAGCCGCGGGCAACAGCTAGTTTTTAATATTCTCAATTAAAATACCGCTTACTTTTAGATTAAGTTATCATTTATACAAAGTATTACCGTTTCCTGTTTTTGATCCTAAGGGCTCTATTTATACATATATTGATCCTACGTACTCCTTCCCAATCCTAAGTACGAGTAAAACTAGGTTTGCTTTGATAAAAGACCTGTCTAGTTGCAAGAAGATCGACCACAAGACCCAGTTATGTAAAGATTTGATAAAAACTCACCTCACTGCCCAGAACGCAAATTGTGAGCCTGATACTCAATCAAACAGATCCCTGATGACTGCAACACGAAAACTATAAAAGACAATTTGGAAAATTACCACAAAATTTCCCAAAATCAATGGCTGTTCATTGTCTCTTCACCTGTTGCAGCAACTGTGTCATGTGATGCCACCGAGAACTTTATAGATTTCTCATTAACAGAATCTAGCATCTTAAAGCTGAGGCCTCATTGCAAATGTTTCACTCTTTCTACTGTTTTGTCCTCGACTTCAAGCCAAACAAGCAACTTCACTCATTTCGTTCCTGACATTAACATTAATATTGACGACTGCTGTCTCCAAGAAATCGAACAAATGAGGAAGATATCTATGAATCTAATTCATCAAGATAACATAGATCTAGATGGATTATGTCATGCAAAGCACAAACTGGAGATGTTCGAAGAAACTTTGCAACATGAAATCAATAAGCCATTTGGTTCCGGATATCACCCAATCTTCAACGCCATCCTATCTATAGCCATCATCTTCATATTCTTGATTGCGATATGTTGCTGCTGTTCCAAGTACTGCTGTAGCTGTAAATGAATACCTTAGTTTCGAGTTTCCCCCTCAAAAACGGTCACACATGGAATCAGTATCTACAGTCATGACTCATGATTCATCGATATCCAACAGCAACATCTTGAATTCCAATGAACCTGTCAGATTTTTACAGCAAATTCCAAGAGCTCAACAAGAACCAGAAGCACTCGAGCTGAAAGCAGTTGTTGGTACCACTAACAAACCAGATGATACTCAGCAATATAGAAACGCTCCGATGCCAAGATGGAGATGATCAATTTCTACAGGGAAATAAAACTAATCAATCAAATCAACCTATCGATTAATTTCAACGGGGGAGAAATATGTTATGTTAGGCCACTGCTTTGCTGCTACTGTCGCGCCACTGAGCTACGACGAAGCTACCACGCCTATTCAGCATTCTGCTTACTCAGCATAGTTATTAAGTTTCCATATTTTATTTCACAGTTTTTTCGTAAGAGATCATTCTTGATTCAACCGAACAAGATTGTCAATTGGGACTTTCTAACTTTAACTTTAATGTCAATCAAGACTTAATTATTGTTAATCGGGTTTTAGTACTGATAGGCTACGTTTTGATGTGTAATTGTTAAATAAACGTTACAACGGAATAAATTGATGCCAATAGACTTGTTTATTCTCCCTAAATAAAAGAACTTAACACCTATAGTCTTCCCCTAATTCAGTGTTATTAGGTTGTAACATTTGAAATGTCACAAAAATATATTTATCTACAAGCTTTTGGTTATGACGTTTTTGGATAACCATTTTTCTAGTATTTGAGTTATGTCATGAGACTCATAACACAACTAGTGGTGTTATGGACTAGTTTATGAATTCATAACACAACTAGTGGTGTTATAGACTAGGATATGAATCCATAACACAACTATTTTTGGTGATTTGACAAATGTCAATGTTAAACCTGTAAAGGTAGAGTGAAGGTAAACAACTACTAATAAACGAGAATAATTGGAAAATCATTCTTATTTTTCGCTTTGTAGATAAAACGTTGTACATCACACGCGCGTTTAAACATGACTACAAAACTCGTGTAATTAGAACGACTCTGTCTACGACCTCGTCGTTCTAAACTTTCATACTCGTTATCGTAATCATGTTCATAAACGCACTTGTAATGTAAATAACTATTATCGTTCTTAATTATTTTTATATATTTTGGACTCATTTAAAAGTACTATTTCGTACACCTAGCGACATCTATGATTCTTCCGACTAGTTTTCCTAACCTAATATCATTGAATCGAGAATTCTATTATTTCCGAGAAACCTGTAGCGCTGTCAGTTTTATAATTTCGACAAGCTTGACAGACGAAGAAAGAAAGGACAGAACCAATTTGGGTACTGTTGACTTTTCTTTTCTCTTTTGTCTTGGGACCGAAACGGTCGTCCAGATTTTTAAAATCCTAAAAATCTTAAAACTTTGTCTTTATTTTTGGCCATCGAGCCTATAGTTTTGTAAAGTGAGGGGACTATCGCCCTTCACGTATGTGAATTTATTTTTCTCTCTGATGAATGAGTCCTTATATTCCTTCAATTCATTCAAGCACATTGGGCAGGACGAAAAATCCGTGACTGCACTTATCCAAGTGAAAATTGACAAATTTGAGACCATGCTGTCCTGCATCTTAGAGTAAATCTGGGCCCCTTTTCAAGGAATGTTGGTGTCCTGTAAGAAGTTGATCCCCAACCATTATTTGGTTGTCTCCAGCCAGTTTGGTACCTCCAGAGCTCAAATTTGTGAAAACTTCCGAGGCTTCACAAGGATTCCGTCCAGGCTTGTATAATTACTTACCTATGGGTGTCTTACACGTGCCATCTTAATTATCGTATCTTATTTTTACCTTTTCTTTATCGCCCCCTATCGATTAGCTTCATTACCTGATTAATATCTTTGTAAATTCAATTACCGACTTAATTGTTTATCATATAGTAGTTTTTAGCTAGAATAGCTAACTACCGTTTAAAATTAATTATTAAGTTAATTAATTAATTATTATCAGAGTCAAATATTAATTTTTATTATCATTTTCTTATCATTATTCATTAAGTATCTAATAATCATGCATTATTATAATTATTATAAATTTATTTCCTTTATATCAAGTACTGATCGATACCTATAATATATTGTGGATTCATTAACCTTTAAAAGGTTAATTTAACTTTTAATTTCAAATCAATGAGGTGGTAGTTTTACAAGGTAAACCAATGTAAAATCTTTAGGTAGTCAAAGTTAAGTTTTATGTTTACATATTTTGAATTTTAATCACAGGTGAGACGGTAAAGCTCTCCCCGATATCCTTGATTTTATATAGCCTGTCTTTGGCATTTATATTTCCCTAAGGATTATTTATTACGTTTCTGCATTTATTGATTTATTTTTCACTGATTTGATTGACTTTGAGTCAAAAAATTAAGGGCTAATTTTACTTCGACTTCAACATTTATACTTAAATAAATTTCATCGTAGGTATCTATTTAATTGTTTTTAAATTTCAATGTTTTAATTTAAATAGGTATATACTATGTAAATTAGGTTTTGCTTTTGGAAAGCTACTTATTTTTTTTATGAAAATTGGATACTGAACAATTTTCTCCTTTGAACAATTGAACAACAAGTTCGCCATCCTGTCAACAAATTATTAACGAATAACAAGTTCGACATCTGGTTAATAAATTATTGTTTTTAGAATTCCAAAACTTGTGTTTTCATTGAAGGGGTTAAATGTCAGATAGGTATTGGATGTGTTTTTCCTGTTCAGATTTTTGAATTTATCTTTTTAAATAACAGCTAATTATTCGAATAGTGTCTAGTTTGGCTATTCTTTTATAATCAAAATATTTGATACAAACTAGTGGCCCCCTCCCTCTACTGTACCAACACCAAGGACCATCCCAACCTAAAGAACCACTGAGCATAGTTGAGCACAATTATGAGCAATATTCATCCCTTTTTTTAATAAGGCCGCAGGTTATCCAGTCTTTTTTCTTTCATTTTGATTCCTTTTGTTGCCTGTTCCATCGCATTTTTTATGTTTGAGGTCAAAATATCACATAACGTGTTAGGATCATTACAGTCATAATAAGAGTCCCAATTTGTTCTTTCTAGGTGTTTTTTTTATTTTTCTTGGATCTGTTACCATTTTTACGTTGTTTTTTTGTTTTTTGTAGTCAATTTTTTGTAAATTACAGAACGATAATCTCAGTGTAATGATCCGTCGTGCTAGTTTTAAGTATAATTGGTAGCAGGTTATCGTGTGCTGCGTTCCCCTTATACAGGGTGTCACGAAAGGTTTGTTACAAACTTCTAGGGATGGTAGATCTCGTAAAATTTAAGGTTTTTTTTGATAAACATATGTCCGGAAATGCTTCGCTTTCCAGATACAGGGTGTTAAACTTTGTAAAAGAAAGTAATTTTTTTTATTAATTCTTAGAAATGCGTTGGACGAATTAAATGAAATTTTCATAGTTTGTTGACACCTTTATGAGGTATCTTTTGGACTCCTCAGAGTTTACCCAGTAATTCCAGGGACGTGCCACAGGTTGTGTCGGATGGTTTTTTGCACGAAAACATCGTCCAATAGATTTATTTTCAATTAGGATATTTTTTCGCTGAATAGAACACTTAAAGATGCAACTTTTTTGTCTTTTAATTTTTTTCCATATGCTGCTTTGTTTTCGAGATAAAATATAAAAACCATTTCAGGCGAACCACGAACGTCACTGACCTTCATAAATAAAAAATAAATTGCTACAGAATTACCTGAAATTTTACCAGGTTATTTGTTGCTTAAAAATAAACCAAAAAAATCAAAAAACTTTTTTTCGAAAACGCACGCACTTCTGAGAATTAATATAAAAATTGTTTTTTTTACAAAGTTTTACACCCTGTATATCTGGAAAACGAAGCATTTCCGGACACATGTTTATCAAGAACAAAGCTTTATTTTTACGAGATCTACCATCCCTAGAAGTTTGTAACAAACCTTTCGTGACACCCTGTATAAAACATGTATTATTACTCTAGTTTTAATGTTTATTTTTATGGTTGACTTATAATTTGCCAATTTTTTTATTGGCTAGATATTTTTTGAATTTTTGTTAAATTTAACCTTGAAAAAAACGAAGTTAGGTATATAATTAGGTAAAGTAGTTACCTAAATGTCTAGCCTAATTTTATGAAGCTATGTTTACTGGGTTGCTCTTCATTTGAAATATGCTTGACCATCAAATTCACAAGAAGTTTCTCTCTTATAAAAAACATTCCAGTTCTATGATGCGTTCTATTCGGCGGTGAAGTTATGAACTCTACTTACGCAGAATTATCGACTTCGAGAGTAGGCATTGGTTGAAAGATTATTATTGATTTGTAAAGTCTAGTAATCCACAAAATTTCTTTAGCAGCTTCATTTGCAGCAACACTTTCAGCCTTCTGTGGTAAAAGTAGCGACCATACTCTGTCATTTACTTATCCAGAAAACTATCCCTCTGGCAAAAATGATAACAACTCCAGAGGTTAATCTTCTTGTTCGAGTAGAACCTCGAAAATACGGTATGTAGGTGTTGTGATATTCAAATGAATTGTTCCTGAAAGGTATCTAGTAACTTTTTTACTCTTGCAACATCTTTTGATAAAGAATTTTCCAAGGTTCTCGAGAGATGCATGTTCTTGTTCCAATCATTAAATACAAAATTCACAGACGAATTTTAATTTTGATATCGTTTGTTATATCGTGATTGCACTTTTGATCAATAATAAAAAATCTTCGAGGTTGAAATTTACTTACAAATACTACCTTGAGGAAAACCACCTATTTAAAATATTATCAATTTCTTTGAATCTTAACTTTTAAAAACAAAGTTTACTGAATAAAAGTAAATGTTGCAACCATGTATGCGCCCTCAAGTTCAGGTTTGAACGAGCGCGCCACAGAAAACGAAGGTACCGAAAACCGAAGAGGATACAAGAGAAGAGGCGATTAGGCATTAGAAAGACTAGAGAACGAGCTGGACTGGTCCCTTAGAAACGTGTCGCGTGTCTGTAGTTATTCATTATTCAATTTTCATTTCTATTTTGTATTAAAATTGATTGTTAAATCCAATTTGTTATTAGTGTGTGTGTGTGTGTGTGTGTGTGAGGAGCGTTCACAGGTTAGTGGATTAAATGTTATTTTGTTCTTGAGAGAGATGCAAGTTCCTATTATTTTGTTCATTTTTATGTTTGTTTATAATATTTTTTATAACAGCTGCATTGTTCATGTATTTAACAAAAATCGTTTCATACTGTAAACAACACAGATAAAGAAGTAAATTAAAACCTAAGATATTATGTGCTCTCTTTTGGTGCTGAGATTTTGATTTTGTGGATTTAGAGCGTGCATTAGAGCCTTGTTGAATTTACTAACATTTTCCTACCCTGACGAGAGAATATCCTAACAACTTGAAATAATCAATCTAGAGATATTGGCTCAAAAACAACTATAGCTGAATAGCTTCCCGTATGGGACCTCAGTATCCGCTGGAAAACTGGCTAACTAACAAAAAAACTCTTTATTATTGAATATAGGTAGTGTTGATTGTGTAATTAAAATTTTAGCACAAAGACCAAAGACGGTACCTAATTTAAACTTTTATTGACTTAAATTATTGAATTAGTGACTCACAATTAGGTATTATTAAAATTACACAGTATGTTTCGATTTTTGAGGAATGTTAGATCGAGGGTTTCTTTGCCGTTCTCTTGCCTCTCGAGAATTCCAGGTCGAGAACGGTACGATTTACTTAATAATAATAAAGTAGACGTTTCATAAATTTTTCGTTTCTTTTACATATCACAACTTCCCTCAAATTTCTCAAATAGTTGCTATGTCGGGCGCATGTCCAGTAAGTAAAATTGAGTAAGTTTCCACAACGTAGGTCCTATTTGTTTTTCATTTTATCAGTTCAAAAGGTAATAAAAATTCACACAGTTCAATCTTACTGAACGAACCCGGGTATGTTATACTACAACCTATTTCGACAATTAAAACTTTCTTATTTTGGTTTTATGTAAGATATTATTATGCATCCTTACCATTCTAGCTTTGCCATTCAAGCAAATACGAAACTGTCTTTCATCAAAAGTTGGCAAATTTTTATTATTAATAAATTCAACCGTCAGTCCATTGAATTCCATTGTGTCTTTGTCTGGCCAATACTGCTCGCAGTTTTTCTGTAAAATTTAGAGAATTTCAAAAACTGATGAGTTTCATTAGCTAGCAATAGCTTTTTCAGATAAAAGAGGATTTTCATTAAAAGTACTAACTTTATTGCCGTCATACAAATTGCAAAGCATCACAATGTATCCAACGCGATTTTCCCAAATCATAATCCAGAAATCATTAATAGTGTTTGGTTTCGGGCCTTGGGCAGCGATGTAGGCTTTGGGATATTGATAACCCTAAATTTTTAAACAATTATTTTGAATGAAAAATGTCACAGAACAAATTATTGTTCTACTCACATCAATATAATTTGCGTTAATGTAGTCAGAATCCCTTGATGAGTTTGAAAGTCTTACGCGGGTGTGATCGTCTGGAAAAGTACAATAAATTGAGACAAAACTAATTATGTTGTTACGAAATTACATCGACAAACCGGCGCCAGGATTCCAAGAAATTAGGTACTTGTTTAGGTCGGGCAGCGCGCCTTTTCCTGGACTTCTATTAAATTCGATCCTATGATTATATTATGATTATACCTGGAATAGCGCGTAATAATAAGTTTAAAATCGATCAGTTTAAATTCGATACCTATTTGTCGTGTATGTTTCGATAAGTGATAAGTCAATCAGTTTAATAAAATTTATTACTGTTTGTGTAGTGAGTTTTTGTGTACCCGGAATCCGTGACAATATGTTAAAAAAATCAATTGAAAGTCTCTATCAAAAAAAAATTAAGTTTACTTACATGCGACTATATTATCGTAGCGATTCTTATCCTTATTCTGAGGCAAACTTCCACAATCCGATTTCGGAATATTATTTATTCTGGAGATCATCTTAAATAATATTGTCATTAGTCTTGTTCAATCAAAATACACTAGTGTTCAACTACTATTTGGTTGAAATTGACTAATACAACTTACTTCATGTTGCCTTAATAGTTCCTGACTTCCGATTGCTGATTTAATATAGTCTCGAAGATTCTCAACGTTGATTATTTTAGAATAATTCAAAAACAGTTGATCTCCTAGTGACCTGTCATAACTCTTAAAAAGATAATCGATACAGAATAAAAGGCTTGTGTTGTGAATAACCTATACATACATTTTTTTGGGATTCATGTATAGTTGAATCTCCTCTCAATAAAGTACATTCAGTTTCTCCATTTGCGAAATCTAAAAAGTATTGTTGTACATATCTATAACTTAACTTTTATTAGAAATGTTTTTCAACTTACATACTGCTACGTCTTCACGAAGTCTACCAGTTTTAAACATAATTTGACGCCTGTACCTAAACCAAAAAGATTTCTGAGAATGTATTTATGGAATCGTTCAAACTACAGCTGATTAAATAATTAATTTTAAATATGATTGGTATAAAAAAAGAGCATAAAGTTACCTATAAGCAAAGTAGCAAAAAACAGGAAGAAATACTAGTAGAATAAACAAAGCGCTAAGATGACTAGCTTCATTATTAATTTTCGGAATCAATACTTCAACTAAAAATTTTGGATGCTATTAAAGTCGCAGGATGTATGAAAAGATCTACTTTACCTGATTTGTAGTTTAATGTTCTGAGGCCATTCAGTTCATTTACAACTACTAGGGTTATTATTATGTATTTTACATCAATAGTTAAATTTAATAGGTTTCTAGTGATAGTATAATCACCATTATATCTATTTCCAGCATAAATTATTTCATAAATGGAAGGAGAGAAACTAGTGTTATTCTTGAGATGTTCCATTATTTTAAGTAATTCTGCTTGCGCTTCCTACAAATAAATAGGAGAAATTTCTGGGTATTTCAAATTATTATTAATTATTAATTTACTCACGTTTTGTTGAAAAACTGATGCTTTGTACACGTTATAAAACGAGAGAAAACAGTCTTGCTTTAGCATAGGGATTTTCAATCCCCCATTAACAAACCTTATGTCCCCGTTGTACTCAATTGGTGGAGGAGGAAAGATTGTATCTGTCTTTGCACATTTCGATTCGTGTTTTTGAAGATTCGTTTTAATGCAGACCTCTATTTGTTCTAATTTGCTACTAGTTTCTCTACACTGGAAAAAATTATGAATATCAAATAAAGAATCTATGTATTCATTTCAACAACAAAAAATAAGGTTTTTTTAAGTTTTCTTGAGATTTTTGAAAAAAGACCTTTTAAATAAACCTAACAGGGAGTTTTGGAATGCTGCCAGAAATTGGTTTTGAAATTGGTAGAGGTTTGAAGGTTGAGTTTATCAAAAAAACTCAACAAGTAAAATTTTAATTTTTTTTTCTCAAGATTTTGGAACATGACTTTGCCTCAAATTGGTTGCACAATCGGTACCAATGAAGCCTTGAAAATATCGGAAAATCCAACAAAAGGTATTTATTCTTTCTCTCGAGCTTTTGGATGGGCACTATCTTAGCAAGCGTGGGACATATTATAGAAACCCAAATAGAAAAAAACAAACCAAAAAACCGAGAAATGAAGGTAGAGGAAAATCCCAGTAATTCAGCCTCAACCAATCTTGAAAAAAAATCGGTGGAAGATCCAACAGAACAAATTACTACAGGATCACCGGAGGCCAGCACAGCCCTTGCTGTAGGTAGGGTTTTATCATGGGATCGGGAACCAAAGAAGATGATAAACCTATAAGGAACCTTGGGTCTCGAATTAACAGATTGAAGATAAACAAGGTCAAACTCTCTGGCGCCCAGAAAGCTATCGAACGGGCCAAAGCCAAAGGGAAACCTATTATACCTCCCAAATCACGAGCAAACAGAAAACCCCAAATAAACAAGGACAAGGCACTTCTGCAAACCAGCAGCCAAAGGGGATTAAGAGAATCCGCTCAGAGGGATCAACATCATCACCCTCACAAAACCCTCAAAAGATTGCGAAACACAATCAAGCTGCAACAAAACCACCCAGTAAACCAACTGGGGCCAGTTATCAAGGTTGTGTTAGCCATCAATAGGTATTTGTGATGACAGCCATGACAGCCATCATCACAAATACCTATCCTGACACTAACGGATCAATAGACCGATCTCCTATTACCTGGACTGCGCGCGTCGCTTGTAGGCTGCAGGTGAGCGTCCAATGAGAAGCAAGTTTGGTACAGGTTTGCGTCATATTCTTATTCAGGGGCCAGTTCAGAGTGAATCGTTCCTTCTTTCTTTGTAACGTGTAATTCGACAAAGAGCAAACTAATACTTTACATATTACTTGAACTCACCGCAGTGTCGTTCAAGGTTTTTTCAGATTATACTTGACATATTCCTTTGCAATTTCATTGTACAATGTTGCCGGATGAAACATTTATCAAAATAAAAGTGTAAACGATGTTAACATAAACTTTTCAAGCGCTTCTTTTGTTTGATTCAAGGCGTTGTAAAACACTTGACACTATATCACTTCTTTAATGTTATAATGTTCGATTTGTATTGTCTTTATTTGTTCTGCAACAACACAATCTGGCTACACTGAACCTACGAGTTGCGCGCGCATGTCATCTTTTATTACTTTCTAACTTGTATTTATTACAATTAGGCTCTCTTTCTCTATTTATGCGAGACAGGTCTATTCTGTGTACATCTGTAAGCAAATCTATAATTTTGTATGATGCTATAGACACTGCAAAACGCATCGATTGCCAAACACTCTTTCAGAAATATTAACGATCCTATAGGAAATTTTGTAATCTAGAGGAAGTGCAGAATTGCAAATTGTCTATAGGCAGCTATAGGCTTATAGAAATTTATAGATTTGTTTAGAGATGCGCACCACAGAATTCACCCATAAGATGACGGCAGAACGAGGGAAAAAGGCACACGAAACTATCCTCCAGGAAATCTGGAAGTGCCAACCTGAAAAAGGACCCAAGTTCAACCAGTGTAACATTGCAAATGTCACTTGTTTTTTTTATATAAATAATTTTTATTTTTACATTTTATAATTTTATATAATTATTCAGTCCATATGGCGGCATCTATTGCCGGATGAATTAATTATTTTATCGATGACCTCAAAAAGGGAGTAAGCGCTTTCTTTTGTACTACCTTGATCTACTCGTCGTACTAGTACTCTGCTGCTCTTTAATCTCGTTAATAGTTTTCGAACGTAGTACTTTTCACATAGCTGAGGGTTGACAGGTCGATAGGTTTTCTTTCAAAAATGTCAAGGGACATCTATTTATTCTGGAAGATAAAATTGAGGAGCCCCTTTTCTAATATTGCCGTTGCCCTAAAAAGGTCGACTGTGACTGGGTTGGGGCAGCCATCTATTACCCGCAAAACAAGATTGAAAAGTAAATAATAAACTTTGAGGAAGTGAGACAGTGAATGGGTAACTAAAACAAAACAAAAATTAAAAGAGAGGGTTGATTGGTGGCTGAAATCTAGAAACGTGACTTCGCGTGAAGGGTTGCCGACTAGCTTCCAATGCGGAGAGGGGTGTGGATCAATTAAATGATAATAATTTATACCTGAAATGTAAATATAATAGACAAGCTTACTAAATGCAGTACCTTCGTAAATAGCCATTTAACCCCAGTATACAAGTATTTTCCTGTATTCAGTACAGCATGTATTTATGGGATATTAGAGAGATATAGATCATTAATTAAAAGTTGAAGTAACAATACGTAACCTGAAGGGCAAATTTAATATTATGGAATAATATAGGTAATATAGATAAATAATTAAAATTGAAGTAACAATACATAACCTGAAGGGCAAGTTTCATATAATATAGGTAAAATAGATAATTAATTAAAATTGAAATAACAACACATAACTTCTGAAAGGCAAATTTAATATTGTAGAAGACTGCGTCACTGTGGTGATTTATTCCAACAAAGGGTTGGTAAGGTTTGATAGGTTCCAGATATTAAGACAATACAACACACTTATCAAACCTGCTGAGTAGTCCCTAATCCCTTGAAGGGAACCTGAAGGATTGTATTGATATCTTCCAGTGTTTCCGATGGCCTGGAACTGGATCATGGCCGCGACAAGTAGCAATTGGTCCTGGGCACTTGAAGTTCAGTAACTAGAAGTCACTAAACTTTCCAATTGGCTAGCGGAGACTGAAGATAGGAGGTACGACATGAAATATACAGTAAGCTTAACGTTTAACTCTTTACTCAAAGTTAAGGACTGAAGCGTGACGAATAAACGAAAAAGCCTGAAACAAATGGACGTTATGAGACTGGGCGTGGAGCGATAGGTAGGTATGTCCAATATTCGGATTTTAACCATATAATTAACAGAAAACTATGCTTTTACATAGGCAATAGAGAAACACAGAGAAGACGAATAAGAAAAATCTCTTACCAAAATACTTTGGCCTTTAGGAACAAACAATTGATCACGTTGTTCTTTTTCGGCTCACAAGGAAATCCGCGCAAGGCGCTTTGGTGCTGAAATAACGGATTAGCCACCCTAGATCTATGAACGAAATTGGACAACTTAGAAATCGGCAAAATGTGCCTGAGGAATTTTCCCGAACACTTAATCTAGCCGGAAAGCCAGCGCAATTCTCTGAATTTACTAAAGCCAGTTTTTGGTCAGTTGATTACAGTATTTACGTACATAAACATACCTCGGTCAGTCAAGCGAAACTTGGGACAAGGACCTAGGGTGTCTGGTTAAAGTTGTCGAGATAGCTAGGTAATGCAACGAGTTTACTAAGGCTGTAAATCGCTATACATATTATATATAACACATAAATAACAGTGATGTTTGTCAGTCAGTTGAATAGCGGAACTGGGCCGGTCATTCAGCCCCATTGAGGTAGTTCAGCCCCAATTTATGTAAAAAAAATAATAGGTCTATTTTTTTTTTAGAGTGACAGCGTGACAGTGACAATTCAAAATTGTAGGTTGAAGTTTAAATTAATAGGTTTGTTCAGTAATATTGATATTTTTTGCAGATTTTTACATTTATTGGGGCTGACTGACCAGCACGGTCCCGCTATTCAACTGACTGACTAACACTACTGTTATTTATATGTTATATATAATATGTATAACGATTTTCAGCTTTAGTAAATTCGTTGCATTACCCAAGTTATCTCGACACCTTTAACAAGACACCCTGGGTCCTTGTCCCAAGTTTCGCTTCTTCACTCGCTTGAAAAAACTGACCGCGGTATGTTTATGTACGTAAATACTGTAATCAACTGTCCAAAAACTAGCTTTAGTAAATTCAGAGAATTTTTTCGGTGCTGGCTCTTAGACTAATCGTGGAAAGTCCTCGACCTGAATGACCTCTGCTTGTCCCTTCAATGTCCTTTAAAAAAGGTTCTGTCAAAACTCCAAGGTGAAAGGTTCTGGGGAATTTTGATGGTAGTTGGGCATGGGACTAATTCAAATTAAGTTGGTACTGGTTATTGACCTTATATGGAGCGCTGTCAATCTAATCAATCTAATCGGATCAGACAATCAGCTGTTCTAATGTAAATATTGTGATTTTGTTTGTTAATAAATTAATTGACTATTTATTTTAACCCTACTAAAAGGAAATCAATTCCATTATTAAACCTCTAACTTGATGGTTCTGAGAAGAATGAAAAGTTTGAAGAAAAGTGTGGCCACAATTATTGGAAAGAAAACAGAGGCTTGACGAAGGTATACTATTCAGTGAGGCGAATACGTTTATTTCCTTTTATTTTGGTCCAGTAAAAATCATCCCGTAACACATCTTCTTCAAGTGTAATTATTGTTCTCGTGGAAAAAAGTACCTTATCGGCCTTCAGGCATTATCTTAACGAAATAAAGTTGCGTAAGGCAACCGAGATTACCGAGAAAATTCAAATCAAAAGTTTTGTGATTACCGTTTTATTCAAGTTTGAATTTCCAAACCCTCGTGGTAAGTCCTTTTTAATTTTTTTTTTTAAGTACCTATTGGTTGTTCATGCTCTATTGCTTAGGATTTTATTGAGGACCTGTTTATACCGGAGAACTGTTTTTCTCAAATTTCAACAAGTCCTATCTCTGAGCATAGAGCTCTCGAGTCCGTCACGTGTCGATACCTGTACCTCCACATTTGACGAAGAAAACTGAACTTCTAGCCTCCATCTACCTCGATTCCAGGCTAGAATCCGCAACTTCAACCTGCAACTTCTCTCGTCAAGTAAATTTTTAAAGTTTCAATTTCATTCATGATATTCTTGACACCTTAATGCACTTTAAACATTTGTTTCTGATTTTTAATTTGTCGTATTTATTATAGATTTTTTTTTCTCAACTTTCAGTACCTTCATATTTGGATAATGTACTTGTATTTTATCTTCTATTAATCATAATGATTAATCTGAACTGATCAAGGTTGGACACCTTCTAACTTCAGAACATTTGTGTAAATACCTATATCGTCGAAAATTGATCAATTTTTAACCCTGGGTTCTATGACTTAAATATTGGAGGATTTTTATTATCTCCTTCATATCTTCAACGTTTAATCTTTGATTTCATACGGGTGCAATTTTATTAGATTGATTTTATTTTCTCTTAAACAGATGCTGCCCATCTTTATCAATACAATTTTCAATCTTTTTTTTTTTTTTTTTTAATTAGTTCTCTGGAAACTTGAATCTTTATATTTTCCTTCCATGATAATGGTATGGCCAGCAATTGTTAATGAATTAATATGACAAGTATATTATCATGTGGGGTCTTCAAAAAAAAAAACCAATCGAAGATTGCTTTGATCACGAAGACGTTACTGTTTCTTTATTGACCAGTATTTTTGACATGACATTTCGACATTGAAATTCATTGACAAAATCAAAGCAAAATATTGCTAAGACATACGTTTACAAAACCATAGCAATCTTTGATTGGTTTTTTTTTTTTGAAGACCCGATATTATACTATTATTTTACTTTTTTGAGCTTGACGAATCTAATTATAAGTTAACCTCTTTTATTTGATTTGATCTAAGGTGTTTTACCAATAAAAATTCTTAAGCAAATGAGTTACTGTCCGCTCAAGTTAAGAACACCGGTTAAAATAATAATAATTATTATTTGTTAACAATCAAATTTTTTTAACTAGTGTTCTTAACTTGGGCCGACAGTAACTCATTTGCATAAGAAATGCACTTATTCAAGTAACATTTAGTTTAGCAGTAAAACACTTACCCATTTCTTTATATCAATATTCCTAAGATATTGAAATAGATATTTTTTACGATTTTCAACATTATATATTTCTGTGATGGTTTCTGATCCAATATTATCACATTGAAGTTCAATACTAATTGTAAAATATTTAACTAGTCCTCTCGTTGCATTTGGATGGTTCCAGAAAACGTTCAATCCATTGGTCCAATTGAAACTTACATTGTAGGGTGGATCTGGTTCTAAAAATACTTAGAAAATTAAATGAAATTTTTAGTTTCATAAACTGATTAAAATGAAAATAATAAATAATAATTATTTTTTATACAAGACGATAAAATGGTAGTTTATCGTTGACCGAAAAAGTTAATTCATAAGCGAAATCGCGAGTGAATTAATTCCGGGAGACGATTATGGCATTTTATCGTCGTGTGTAAAACAAAGCTTTTTTTCATGGCCTAATTATAGACGCCTGTAGTATCAAAAATATTTAGAAACTATTTGAGTCGAACACTTTTTGACAAATAAATAAAAAACAAAATATGTATATATTTTTGACAAAATAAACGTCTTTATCTATCCTTGCTGTTAAAGTATCATTTAATCTACCCTTGTGGTTAAAGTACTACTTTATCTACTATTACCAGTAGCTATGGAAAAATACTACAAAAATAGTAGATAAAGTAGTACTTTAGCCGCAAGGGTAGTATAAATGATACTTTAATAGCAAGGATAGATAAAGACGTTTATTTTGTCAAAAATATATACATATTTTGTTTTTTATTTATATGTCAGTTTGTCAAACGAATTTCTACTTATGCAAAAGTGTTCGACTCAAATAATTTCTAAATATTTTTGATACTACAGGCGTCCGTAATTAGGCTATGGAAAAAAACTTTGTTTTACACACGACGATAAAATGCCATTATCGTCTCCCATAATTAATTCACTCGCAATTCCTCTCGTGAATTAACGTTTCCGGTCAACGATAAACTACTATTTTATCGTCTTGTATAAATAATAACTATTATTTTTAATCATATAATATCTCGGATTGTAATATACTATTATAGATTTGGTTTAGACAAACCTCTTTCCCAACTTTCCGTCATTACTTCTTCATAAATTCCAAATTTAGTGGCTTCATCAATTTCGTTCTGAATGCTGCCTTTCTTTCCGTTTTTTTTTATTGCAAATATCTGCAAATATAATCATATTTCATAAACCGATTCGAAATTACATATCATAATAAAAATCAACAACAAAGTTGGCATTTTCTATTCTCCCGTTAAATAAAGTTAACTTACTCTAAATCTATACGTATACGATGCGTCTTCTACTGGGCTCTTAATTATTTCATCGTCGCAATGATACTGCGGCCATAGTAAACAATTTTTGGGTGTTAAAATAGATTTATATTTTTTATCCAAACCGACATAAACACGATATTCTAGTGGACCAGTTGATGTTCGTGGAGGTAGCCATCGCAATGATATCTGATCAGGTCCTTGGGAAGTGACGCTTAGGTCTTCTATTTTACCTGCTATAACTGCTGGAAAAAGAATTGTTACTTGACAGAATCATCAAAATGCCTTCAATATTTTTCAAGATAATCAAACTTCATCATCCTTTGGTCATAAAGTACAGGGTGTCTTTAGATAAACTGACACATTTTCCAGGTAAACACATATCTCGAAAACGAGAAATGATAACAAGATTTGGTTTATTCTGGGAGAATAAGAATTTTTCTAAGTTTTTGTTTTCCACAGTATTGCCGAACCTTGAAATTTGATGAAATTTGGATTAACAGGCATGCGATTTTTTGAAATAAAATAACTGCCTCATTTCATCATCATCATCAGGAAGCCTGATTTTTCTACTTTACAAAAATGTACTATTGTTTTTAATTATATTGAAATCACATCTTAAAAATTGCACTTTGGCAAAGAGGGCCAAAAAAAAAAGAAAAATACTTCAAGCAATGGGCTCTTTCACTAATATTTGAAACTGGATTATTTGGATAAAGCAACTAAAAACAGAATTTTTTGTATTTTTACTTTTGAAAAATTCATAGTCCTTCTTGAGAAAACAGAAAAATAAGGAATACCTCCAAATAAAAACCCAGAATTTATTTCTATGACGTCGCAGCTCGCAATTTGACCGTGTTACCACTAATTGTCAACATTGAAAATTTGTAATAGATTTAATTCTGAAATGTTGGAAAAATATCATGAAAAGTAGTTCAATTAATTAGTTATGGATTCAAGATTTTATAACATTTTTTTTTTTTTGAAATTATGCTTAAACACAATTTAATACAATTTTGTATGTTTAGTTTTATTTATTTTTTTTTTACTTTGCACTACATTCAGTCACAACCGACAACAGCGCATTCGAACCTTGCTGTGCTTTTACAGAGCGCAACACAGCCGAGCCGGTCTTCTTGCAACAACATGAGCGAAATGGAAAATATTTATGTGACGTCAGCGAATCGGCGCATTTTAAATGATTTTGAATTTCGCTAGTTTCAAATGCCTGTAAAAAACTTATTTAACCTTGTAGAACTTTTTTTTTGGTATATATGCCTAAAATAGTTCCTCCTTTGGGATTTTATACTTAAATTACGTATTTAAATTTTAGTGAATGAGCCCATTAGAGGGACTTCAAACTTTCAAAATTTATTGAGTAGGGTCTTTTCATCGAACAACACAAACCGTGAGTGGATCTCAGACTCAGAAATGGAATTACGAATTTTTTCCCACTTAAATACAATGATATTGTAAAAAAAAAGATTTTGTTTGCACACTGATGACAATTTGCCAAGTGACACTTGTTTTCGCAGGTATGGTTTTTTTAACGTTCCCATGAGGAAATGCTTGTCCAGTGTGCGAAATGCCTAGTTCGCGCACTGGGTTAGCTATTTGTTACCTGACAGGAAACCAACTTAATCGAAATTCACCTGCCTTTGATTGTAAATGCCATTTTAGCTACGAATGATCGATGTTTAAATGGAGTTGTAAGTTGTAGAAAATATATTGTTTGCAACTCGTGCGCGAAATACTTTGGTGATCTTGTCTATTTTATTAACTCGGCTGCACCTCCTTAAAAAAATCAGTTCTCGATCACCAAAGTTGCATTTCGCACACTAGATACAAAAATAACTATTCCAGTATTTGAGTTATGTCATGAGACTCATAACACAACTAGTAGTGTTATGGACTAGGTTATGAATTCATAACATAACTAGTGGTGTTATAAACTAGGTTATGAACTCATAACACAACTATTTTTGGTGAAATGACGAAAATGTCAAAGTAAACCTGTAAAGGTGGAGTGAAGGTAGACAACTACTAATAAACGAGAATAATTGAAAAAACATTCTTATTTTTTGCTTTGTAGATAAAACGTTGTTCATCACACATGTGTTTAAACATGACTACAAAATTGGTGTGATCAGAATGACTTGGTCTACGACCTCGTCGTTCTAATCATTCACACTCGTTATTGTAATCATGTTCATAAACGCACTTGTAATGTAATTAACTATTTATATAGTTCGAATAACTGGGAAACAGTCAGTATCATAGATTTATTACTCTTTTACAATTGCCTAGCTTTCGAAGCCTTTCGCTTCTTCTTCAGGGCTATAATAATATGATATAAAATTAAAAAAAAATGAATATAATATAAATTAGAAATTAAATAAAAATTTAATAAACTTTTTAAAACATACCTTGTAGTGACTCTATCGATTTCTCTGTTTTTTTTTTGGTTTTTTCATTTATGATATAATATAGATTTTTATAAAAAATTTAATATAAAAGTATAATGAAAATTATTTCAAAAAATGTAAAATATGGTATAATTTTTTTTGAAAATTTTGATTAGTGTTTGATAGACTTGACAATATGACGAAGGTAATTTTTGAAGGTAATAAACCGGTATTGATTAATATACATTAGGAAATTTTTTTGTCCAGAGATAACAAATAGGAATATATTATGCTCAAATTATTAATTTCTGTTCTTTCATTAATTGAATTTTTTTGTTTTTGTATTTCCGTCATTTCTAAAAATAATCTTTTATTTAAATTCTTTTCTGTTTTTAAAATTTTAATGTTATTGTAATTAAGTCGATGTCCAGTATCAAATGAATGTTTAGCTATAGCCCTTGTTTCTTTTTGCAATCGTATATCACTTTTGTGTCCAGACATTCTGTTTTTTTATGGTTTGTGATGTTTGACCTATGTAGATCTTATCACAGTTTGTGCAAGGTAATTAATTTATAAACAACATTAGTTTTTAATTATATTGGATCTTTATCTTTTAGTTTTGTATTCAAATTATCAATAGTTTTTATGATTTTAAAAGAAATTTTGACAGATTCATTTTTGAAAAGATAGGCAATTTTTTCTGAAAGTGTTTTTATGTATGGTATTGAAGCATAATAAAATCTGGGTTGTTGATTATTTTGAACATTAATAGAATTATTTTGTATTGTTGACCCGTTCGATGATTGGTTATTATTATTATCATTAATAATATTGTTGTTGAAAATTATTTTATTTAATAATGCATTTGGATATGAATTTTTTAATAAAATCTGTTTTAATTTTTTAAAGTTCCTTTAATGATGGATGAACTAATTTCTCAATTCTGTTTTTAAGTGTCAAGATGAGATTAATTTTGTGTCTATAACTATGATATGAGTTAAAATTAATATATCTTCCAGAATTTGTTGCTTTAATATACCAATCCGTTATTAGAGTTTGGTTATTCCGTATAATTTTTGTATCTAAAAATGGAATACTATAGTTATTTTCAATTTCGATAGTAAATTGGATTGAATTATTGTAATTGTTAAATATATCCAAAATTTCTTGGTGTTTATCAAATGGAACTGCACAAACAATATCATCAACATATTTTTTTGAAAAAGGTATCTCAAAAGAAAGTGTTGGTAAACAGTGTTCAATAAGATCATCTAGTCCCAGTTATTCGAACTATATCAATTATTAACGGTCGTGATCCATAAAATAAAGTAATTAACTATTGCAACGCCGCTTCTACCAGCTGACAGACTAGAGACGTCAATCAGTCGTAGTGAAACTAGCTGCCAGTAGTTATTTAGTCCATTAGATAACAGAAACAGCATACATTAACATAGTTACTGTGTGATATTAATTTAGTAATTACATCTATATATATAAAACACAGTTGTGTTGGTGTTGAGCACTTATAACTCGAGAACGGCTGGACTGATTTTTATGATTTTTGCTTTATTGGATTTGTCTTTATCCATCCTACGATAATAAATCGAAAAAATCCAAAAAAAAAAAAAAAAATTATCTCTTCTACTTATCTATGAAAAAAACTCACTAAGCCCGCATACGGCGCCATCTCTTATAACCGATACCAAGTTTACCGTCACATTTTCATTGCAAACCATGTGGATTTTATTGTCACACACTTTGCACAAAAACAATTTGAGGAAAGAACTTTATTTTTAATTGATCTTCACAATAAAAATGTCCAAAAATAAATAGAATGATAATGTTTTAATTGTGTATTTTATTTTGTTGTTGGATCGTTAATTCCGAAAGAGCGCGAACTGGTCTACCTGTCATTTCTTGACGCCTGACCATTGACGTTCTGTGGCTAAGTTCAGTTTCTCCTCTTAGGCAACCCTTCACAGCCGTGTTCCGTGCCGACTGTTCGAAGTGCTCCGCCCGGCTGGTGTCGAGTGGCAGAGAGCCAGGTTATGAGTCCGCCACAACCATTTTGTATACGGCGCCATATATGATAGGTACCTAGAACGAAGCTCGCCGTTGCGCGGTAATTTCATTGCAGATACAGTAGAACAGAATACTGCTAAGGAACTGGAGCTATTCTGAACAGAACTATTCCACTATTCCGATCAGATAAAGTGGTGCAGAAAGAGTAGTTCAGGTAGAATAGTGCAGATACAGTAGAACAGATGGAGTATTGCAGTGCATGCAGTGCAGATAAAATGAAACAGGGCTGCGCTGGAGATTTTTTTTGTTTTCTTTACATTTTTTGAACATTCCTGTGCCTGAGTTTATTTATTTGGTGGTACACTTTATAAGAATAATGCCCACAAGATGCCTAAAAAGGGATGATGTAAAATTTTAATTTTAGGTGACTTCTGATCCAGAGAGTAAAAATTAATTTTCTTCGACCAAAGCCAAATTCACCATCGAAAAAAACTGAATTTAATTCAGTTAATAGATACGTTAACACAACATTTAATAGGTATTTAATAATTCAGAGGAGGTACGAAGTTCGCCGGGTCAGCTAGTAGTAAATAAAAACTAGTGATCAGTAAGAACGCCTCTATTTATTTGATTGGACCCCGGACATAACATGGTGGCAGCGTAAAAGTGCACTAGATTGAATTTTGGAAATTCGTTGTGCTTCTGTTTCCTGCAGCCTGCAGATGGGCAAAGATTAAGGCAAAGGATTATAAATCATATGGTTGTTATTTGTTATTGAATAAAAAATCAAGCAACATGTCAGATAGCAGAACCCAAGA